TTTTTTTTTTTTTTTTGAATTATTTAAGAACTCATTTCAAAGTGGAAAGCGTGAAATCACGTAGAAAGTAGCTTTTTTTTCGCTCTTTTTTGGCAACAATATTTTGAAGTGAACGAAGTTGCCATGCTTATATTAATAGTAAAAGTTGAATCAACTTAATCTCATATACAGTACTTTATTTTTAAAGAATGTGTACTAACTATTAACAAAACACAATAGACACAATAATTAGTTTTAGTTTCAGCATAATTTGATTGAATTTAAAATAGCATATTTTTGTTAGCTTATTTTATGCTTTGTGTTTGTTTTGTTCTAAAATCACAGTTGAGATTGTTGCACATAATTGCATTATGTTGATTTTTTTTAACATTTTCACAAAATTGACATAAAAAACAACTTATTTTTTTCTTGTGTTAAAGTAGTATTGCGATTTTTAGTTCTCTTACATAGTTGGGTATTTTCTTATTAATATGAGAGAAAAAAAACATTTTTTTTAAGTAGTTTAAAGTGAAAAATAATTCAAAAGTACACTTCTATACTTTAATAAATAAGCATTCTGTAGTCCAATAATTTGTTTAGACTTGACTTTTTTCTTTCTTTTTTGCAAAATACATTGCTATACATACATATTACTCATTATCATTTTTTTCTGTAATTTTTGGCTATAATTTATAAATAGCATCGTTAATTTTCTTCTGCTTATTTTGAAATAAAAAAATTTTTTTATTTGTATTTCTTGTAGCTTTGCATTTGAATAATTTTTATTATTTAAAGTTTAAACAAATTGGCTTTGTAAATTAGGTTAGTTTTTTCTGCAGAGGAATATTTGTGAAGTTTAAAGCTAGCTATTACCGTCATGTTTTTGATTTTTTGTATTATTACTACAAGCAAGTTTTTATTTTTGGTTTTTTTTTTATCACTGCAATGATTAGTTTACATCAAATGATTCTGTTTCTGTTGTATTTTACTACTTTTTTGATGCTGACTTGTTGTCAAGTATTTTCACGTTTTTTATTTGGTAGTTACAAATTACTGCTTTATTTTGCACTTAGGACTTTAATTGTACTAAATTATCGAATTTGTTCATACATCAGCAAGTTAAGTGTTACTAATTCTGTATCTAACAAAATATATTTACTGTTAATTCATGATAATAGTATTACTATTTTTTTTAATGACTTTTAAGCGGACGTGAAATTAAATATTTTCGCTCATTTTTCTATTATATAACTTTCATTTTATTTGTTATATTAGCTGCTATATGTTTGGCATTTCATCAATAGTCCTTCAATAATTACTTTTTTAGTGACAAATTTTCAATCATTTATGATTTCATTTTTACAAAATTTTGTATACTATTAGCATTTTCCTTTATTGCTATTATTTATGGTTGTTTTTAGTGACAGTTAAACAAAAAAAATACGCAAATTTGAAGCAGTCAAAAGCTTTCATTCAGTTTGTTTTCTGATTTAATTTTAAGAAATTCAAAAAAGTTTGCCCTTTTAAAGTTGGTTTTCTACAGAAGTTTTATAATAATAATTAGTATTTTTTCATAAATATTGTGCAACTAACTGGTTAAACGTTACAGTTTGTGATTTGTGTCTTATCAAAAATATTATATTTTTTATTTGCATCTACACTAGGTGTATATATTTTCATAGTAGTAATGCTCATTTCATCTAAATACTATTATATTTGGTTTGTACGAGAAATCTGCTTGTAAAATTAGATATCACAAAGATTTGAACAAAAATTTATTTATTTTATTAATCATATGAAACTTTTAGAATAACAGAATGAAATAGATTACATGAAAGTTCTTTCCTTTACATATTATTTGATGGCAAATTAAGCAGATGCAATAATTCGACGTACTTATTACTTGTTTATGTTCCAGTTGTTAGCAGCTTTATTAGTAAGGTTATGAGACAAATAATGAATGAAATGAATCAAATTTTTGTTTCTATTAGTAAAGCTTCTGTGTATTTGAAGAAGTTATTTTATTAAGTTAGCTTTTTATCGTGTTAACACTATATTTATGATGTTTCAGAAACAAATTTATCGTTGACTTAATCATTCATTAATAGATTAAACAAAAGTAAAATTTATTGAAAGTTTCATAAATTTCAAAAATTTTAATGGATAAATCTGTTTGGTAAACTTTGATATTTGAAAAAGTGAAATGTAAACAGATATAGAATTTAAAAATAATTAGATCGGAAACTTCATTCAGAAATTAATTTTGTAATTCATGTAGTTTAAAAAACAGTAAGAAAGAAATAGCAAAATGTACCTATGGAATGTAAGCAAAAATTGCGACTTCTGAAATGTATACACTAATTTCTTTGCAGCTTTGAATTAACGATAAGATTTATTTATTAGAGTATAATTATCTCTGCTCTACTAAGGAATGTAGGGAACGGTCTACTTTTCTTGTTTTAATTTTTTAAAAATCCAAGTCTTTTCTTTTTTATAATTTCAGATATTGAAAAACAGTACCACAATATTATTTTATGAAAATTTTACTTTTTATATTATTGTAATATTACATCTAATTTTTGTAGTAACTAAATTTTAATTTGCAAATAATAAATTGAAGAAGAGTACTATTACATTTTAATTAAGTTATCAAGCACAAAATAAGTAAAATTTATTTTATCGCATTAGTTTTGAAAGTATAATTTGTTTTGGCAGTATTAAGCTAATGATTGAGTAAGGAAAGTCAGTGACACTGAACATAAAACAAAACGAGCAAAAAGAACTCAAAATATGGGAATCAGAAATCTGCAAGTTTTGCATTATTTTTTTCCCTACTCAAGTCATAGCATCATATTAAGTTCAAGTGAAATTTTTTCAAGTATAATTTGTTCTTTTTTTTTTCCATTCTTTCGACTTCTTTTCATATCTATCACTAAAATTTTCATTTTTGAGTTTCATTATTCCCAAGGTTTTTAACTTTTTAAGATATGAATCCTGTTAGCATTTAAAAAAATATTCACTCGTATGAAAATCATCGTAATTTGAATTTGAATTGAATATGATGTTGCATTAATTAAATATATTCAGTACCAAATTTTGATTTTAATAAAAGCTTGACTGGTAGTTATATTATTATTATTATTATTACTGGAAAGGTATTATTATTTTTTGATTTGTCATAATATTAAAAGCTTTATTCACAGATAAGATGACTTAAATTCAGAAACTGAAGTTAATAATGCGAATCTTTGGAAAATGCGTCCACAACAGCACCTATTTCCACTTTTGTGAATATCATCACTATACTTCTTTAATGATATTCAATTTAATACCAAATATTTTTTTTTAAATCAGCGAGTCTTTTATCTATTAATTATCGATTCTTATTTTTTCACTTAAAATCACATTTTTACTAGCATCATACAAGAATAATGCTATCTAGAACAAGTTATTAATTTTCTATTGACAAGTATTGAACTCATTGCTTGTTTGCATTAATTATTACGTTTTATGTATACCACTCACTATATACAGTTCATTATATGTTATTATAATCATTATTATGTTATCGAATAATCATAATTTCAAAATTTAATTACATCAGTTTAGAAAAAAAACCTAATTGAGAACTGTTAACAGACTGATAAAATATGAAATAGCATTGGGATTCTTGCAACACAGTTGTATGATTGACCATAATTAATTTTAAAGACTGGAGAATCAGATTCGTCATGAAAGCTATCAATGTTCCATCAGTTGAAATCGATGCATCTTTGGATAGTTCAAAATGTGCTTCGAATGCAAAAAAAGATTGCTTGCAAGTCTCTGATTCGAATCAACCAATGCTTTCTGGTGATAAAATTGAACAAAATGTTGTTTCACCGCGCCGTTTTATTGCTGTTGATACTGATTCAGTTTTGGAATCTTCTAAATTACTTAGGAAGCTTTCGGAAGCCTTTGGTACGTCTATTTTTTTTAATGACTGCAATTTATTAATGAATACTTTCTCTTAATTTTTTTTCACTGTAGTTGTAACACTACAGTCAAAAAATGCTGACTTCACAAAAAAAAATTATTCCTTTTAATTTTTTTAGGTGTAAAATTTCTAACTTGTTCTGAAATATTAATCTTTGATTGTTTCTTTTGGATAAAGAAGTTCGAATATATTATATTATGAATTTTAGCAATGGCTAAGAATTTGGAAAAGACTTATTTTAAAAAGCTTAAATTACACTTCTATTTTGTTCAAATTTACTTCCTTTATATCTGTTTAATAATTAATAAAATAAAATCGAAGGTTAATTTTTTTTTTTAATTACAAATTTTAATCTTTCAATCATTGTACTGATAAAAATATGAATTTCTGCGAATTAAATTCTTCATCAGTAATGCACAATTTATGCAAATTAATTCATTTTGAAACCCGTGTCGGAGCTCATGTGCAAATACTTATGATGAGAAGTGTTATATCTGCATCAAAAATTTTTATATGAAGTCTCATTTTATTAGCTGTGGTATAACTATAGATTTTAATACAAAAATTGATAAAACTAAGACTATTTGTAATTTTGAGATATTTTAGATGAAATAAAATAATTGTACTAGTTTGAAAAAAAGAAGCAAATTCTAAATAATGTTGCAAAATGATTTCATGTGGTACAAGAGGATGCAGTAAAATGAGTACAGTGAGTAACTGTTGAATCATGGAGTTGTTATGCTAAAAGGAGATAGAAAAATCATATTTTTTCATTTTTATTATTGAATAAAATTACATTCATCATTTTAGAAAAGCACGATTGGAAATTTTATTCGTTCATTGCAAATTTGTATTTAAAAATACAAAAAAATTTTTTTTTTCAAAAACTATCAGTTTTCAAAGTTACACTTGTTATCAAGCTCCATCATTCAAATTGTCTGCTTAAAATGCTAGGCTAATGCTGAAAATGAATATGAAAAGCAGAAATTGTTTCAGTTATTATCTGAATAATACTGTTGCTATATTGGGATATCAGTTGCGCAGTTACTATATACACAAAACGATATTATTTATGTCTGTATCATTTTATGATATTCTTACTGCAAATGATTTTGTTTCTGTTTTTGATGAAATCTTACTTCATACTTCACCTTGTGTAAGTGCCCATTCTGGATCATCGTCTTGCCATCCTGATAATTGTTGCTTATGCAAACTATCATCATATAATTATCTGAATCATTTAAAAGCACTTACTCCATCAGCGGTGCCTTCTTGCAACTCTAATATTGAGATGTATTCAAATTTTTCTCATATCAGTTCTAAAACACATTTTGAAGAAGACAGCAGAAACTCTGATGAAGACAGTAATCGTTTTAGTGAAAAAAATAGTAAGCAGTCAAGTGAAGATAGTAATGGTTTTAGTGAAATCGAGCAAAATCGTAACTTACGAACGCCATCTCACTGCTGTCGAATTGGTGATGCATTATGGAAGAAGTCTCAAAGCTATTTAAAATTTCTGTTAACTCGTAAAGCTTTGGGAAAATGTGAGCATTGTTGTAATTTGCTGAAAATAGCATACAAATCACTTTTAGATATTATTTGTATCACTTTTACATATATCTTTTGACTCATTTTTATTAGTATATAAACTGCTTTTCGTAATATTCTGTTTTCTAATGATTGTTTTGGTTATTTTTCAGATATTTTCATATTTCATTTCTCATAACTTACTGATGCGATCTTTTCTCATCTATGCGTTTGTTCAGCAAATAAAATTTTAAGTGTTTTACATTCTTCGTTTCATGCATGAAGTCATCATCAACTTACCAAGCGTTTTTTTGCAGTACCGCAATACTTTGCAAAAAAACATCTTTTACTGCTTTCAAAGTTATTTTTCTAGTCATGTAATTTGAGATTAGAATGAATAGATACATTGGAGAAGGTTATATTTAATTTTGCATCTTTTCTTTTTAACTGACATAAAGTTGAAAATAAAGTTTAAAATGCTTTATTATATAAACTTATTATGAACTGTAATTTTACAAAATACGTTAAAATTCAAAGTCACTGATTTTTTATGATAAAAATTGCGATTTTTTAGCTGCGCTATGGCTGATTTTTATAAAATATCCAAGATTTTTACTTATTCGGTAGTTTATATTCCGTTTATTTTAAATACTGTTTTTGTAAAGAAGATGATTGAAACTAACGATATCTTCTACAGGTACACGAATTCAAAAAAATGAGCAAAAAATAACAATTCGTTTAAACAAATTTATCACTCCTTCAAATGATTGGATTACAGTTAGCTAAAACTGTTGAAAAGTTCCAATATTTTGTATAATAATAAAATAATTATTATATATCCATTGATATAAAGATTTTTTTTTTGCAGCACAATGTATTGAAGGTAAAGGCATTGTTCGGCGAGGTGCTTTTAGGCAAAAGAATGTTCATGAAGTCAAGTATGTTTTGTTTTGTACAGAAAGCATGAAGAACTAAAATTAGTCAATTATTAATATACTTCAATCAAAATTTAATTCGATGCTAATTTGCATAGGAAGTCTAATTTAGTTTCATTTCTCAGAGCTCACAAATTCATTGCACGATTCTTCAAGCAGCCAACATTTTGCTCACATTGCAAAGAATTTCTGTGGGGTCTTAACAAGCAGGGTTTCCAATGCCAAGGTTTGTAATTAATTCATTTTTATTTCTCTCAAAAAATTAGATGATAACAATTTTTGAACATATCTTTTGCATTACTTGTAAAATAACTGAATAAAATATTTAATTTCTATCGTAATGTCATGCTACATTTTCAGTGTGCACATTTGTAGTCCATAAAAGATGTCATGAATTTGTAAATTTTGACTGCCCTGGCGCCGACAAAGGTGTTGATTCTGACGTTAGCATTTATCTTTTTTTTCTGAAAACTTTTTCATAGTTCATTCATTTCAAACGTCTAACATAATACACATACGGTTTTTATGATAGAATATTTGAAAAAGAATTATGTTTAGAGTTTTCTAGCTAATAGAAAAAAATTGCTAAGATTGCAGTAATACAATAATTACATTAATGTCAAAATTCCCAATTAAAAGCAGTACCTTATTCTTTGTAGGATCCACGACAATACCATAAATGGAAAGTGCATTCATATTCATCTCCAACATTTTGTGATCATTGCGGATCACTTCTTTATGGTCTTATCCATCAGGTTAAAAATTCTAAACTATTAATTAGCATTAATTAATTATAATTATGACATATGACAATATTTTAAGGGCAAAAAATGCCAGTCTTGCGATGTGAATGTGCATCATAAATGCGTTGAATATGTACCCGATATGTGCGGGACAGATTATGTAGAAAGACGTGGTCGAATATATCTTTCAATTGGAGTTGAAAATGATTTACTTAAAGTTAAAGGTGCCACTTTTTGACACCGTTCAAGTATAATTTGAATACCGGTTTATTGGATCAAATTTGAATATTATTTTATTTGTAGGGCACATGTTATCAAAAATTACTCGCATAGAAAAACAAAGAATAAAATTAGTATTCCTAGTTCAATTTAGGTTTATTAAAAATTTAGTCACGGACAAAAATCAACAGGAAATATCGACGTTAAACTTGTTAATAGTTGGATATTTTTTAAGATACTTTTTTCTTCAGAAATTCCACTTTTTTGAATTCATTTTCAATACAAATGACAACAAGTCACTGACTATAATTTTTGTAATAAAATTAATGCTTAAAGTAAAAGAATCGGTGTATAATTAGAATTCAAATACATTGGAAATAGTAACAAATGACATAGAAGGTTTTATTATGCAAAACCTCCAAAATACGTCACGAAAACAAAATCTACGTATAAACATTAGAAATATGTGCTTTAAGTACGTGAGGCACGCAATCTGATACCCATGGACCTTAATGGACTTTCTGATCCTTACTGCAAATTGAAATTGATACCTGATAACCAAGCTTCTTCGAAATCAAAGAAGAAAAGTCGAACTATTAGATCAACTTTGAATCCTGTTTGGAACGAATTATTTGAATAGTAAGTAGACCTTTTAAGATGAGTATTATAAACAGTTTAATATGATTTCTAATTTATGAATTCCATGCATATTTAAATAATCATTTTCAAGGCAGACATGTGTTATCTGCAATAAATATTTGTGGTTCCTTTCTCAAAGCTCAAAATTATTCAAATTCAAATTTCAGTAAATTAGAACCAGGAGATGCAGACAAGAGACTATCAGTAGAAGTTTGGGATTGGGATCGAACGTCAAGAAATGACTTTATGGGTTCTCTTTCTTTTGGTATTAGTGAATTAATTGAGGAATCCGTTGATGGATGGTTTAAACTTTTGAGTGCGGTGAGTTTGATAGTCAAACTATTCTTTATACTTTTACAATATAAATTCTGTATACAAATGTATAATTTTTGTACAACTTATACTTACTTTTCTTTGACAAGACGAAGATTAAAATTAAAAAATTTTCAGGAAGAAGGCGAATTTTATAACATTAAAGTTAGTCCCAAGTCCGAGGCTGAAATCGAAAAGATCAAAAAGAGTTTTGAAGAATTACACGTGCCTCAAGAACAGGTGAAAGTAGCAAGAATTGTTGGGTGCTTATATTCTGATCTATGTACAATTTATATAGTACTTTAAAAGTACTTCTTATTTTATGTCAGGCAAAAATTTAGATGAAGATATATAATGTGGAGGAACTGCCGAAAAAATTATTTAAGTGGTTATAAATCTGATCTCATTACCTAAAACTAAGAGCAGTCAAATACTTAGTGCAACTGATTAACTTAGTCTGAAAACTATACTCGATTTTTACGCATTGCCATGATTTTGTGAAATTAGATAATGTAGACAGTAAAAAACATCATTTTACTCCATTATGTATGCATATAATAAATAGACTAAACAATAATACTAGTGATAATTTATAAATGAATAAAAATAATTAAAAGTTCTAAGGCTATCTTAAGGAACTTTGTTACTAATTTCAGAAGCTTCCTGTGCAATCTTCAGATGATCAAAAATTGAATGTCCATCAGCAAGATGAAATTAAAGTTACTGATTTTAATTTTTTATCAGTGCTAGGAAAAGGATCATTTGGAAAGGTAGTAAATTTGATTTATTTTGTTCTTATTTTGTGAATATGGAATAAAAGGTGTTAATTAATTGGCACCTACAGGTCTTGCTGGGTGAACGCAAAACAACGAAAGAATTATTCGCAATAAAAATTCTAAAAAAAGATGTTATCATTCAAGATGATGATATTGAATGTACAATGACGGAGAAACGGGTATTGGCACTTACAGGAAAACCACCTTTTTTGGTTGCTCTACACTCCTGCTTTCAAACTATCGTAATTAATTTTGCACAGTTTTTAGATTAAATGGTTATCGAATTGCTAGTTATTAAGTAATTTTATTTTCAGATAATTTAAAAGTTCTCTCTCTTTTTTTTTTGAATTTTGCTTTAGTTTTTAGTTTTATTTTAAAATGTTTACTTTCTTGTGATTTTCGAAGTTGCATGCAAGTTTCAAATTCTGTAAGTCTGTTCATAATCTTTAAAAATATATGCATTTAAATGAAAAAATTTTTAAATGTTAAAAGAATTGCAGTTATTATGCAACTCATTTATCATATATAGGTTCGAAAGCTATCAGCAACAATGGTGTTTCATATTTTTACTTGATAAAAAATTGAAAAATCTAAATTAATAAATGTTCAGATTGTTTTATAACATGCACAAAATTGGTACTCTTTTTGTTTTATAGTCGGTTTGATGGTTATGTAGATCACAGCCTTAATAAAAAAGTAACAAGCTATTTAGTCATTAATATGCATTTTATATTTCATAGTATGCATGTTTTATGGTATTGTACGCTTTGGGATTTAGCAACATTTTATTATAAATACTTGTATTTTTGTGCAACTTTCAAACTCTAACCACGAAGTGTTGCATTTAGTTTCTTAATATTTGATATCTTTTATATCCGAATATGTATATGCTATTACTTTGAGCTTTTTTCTGTCTTCAAATTTTTTGTTTATTTTTTAATGAATAATTTTATTCTTGACTAAAGAATTATTTTTTGATTTCTCTGCAAATTAGCAGTCTTCGAGCAAAATTTTTTTTAAACGGCTTGTAGTGCAGAAAAAATTTTTTTCTTTGCTATTTTTCAAGCATTTTCGTATTTATTATAAATTTTGACTTTTCAAAATTTATTATTTTTTTGAATTTTTGAACAAGTCTTTGCGTTTTTTTTTTCCAAATAATTTATTTATGTCCTTTCTCATTCAAGTAAGAAAAATTAAATTTGAAAATTTTAGAATGGATTAGTTTTTTATCATTTGTTACATACATTTTTGGTGGCTTTAAAAAAATTTGATTGAAATGAATCAGCTCTGATTTATTCGCAGAGTCTGTTCATTAATCGAATAATTTTACTTATTTCACACACAGTTTTAAATTTTTCTCATAATATGTTATGATTAATTGCTTTTCAAATGTTGAAAATTAATGCTTTAGGATCGTTTATATTTCGTGATGGAATTCGTTAGTGGTGGTGATTTAATGTATCAAATACAACAAGTTGGCAAGTTTAAAGAGCCGGTAGTTGTGTAAGTAATGGTAATTTACTCTTAAAGTAATGCAAAAATAAGTAATCCAATTTAAATATTTATTAGTAATACTGGATTTCGGGCTTACTTTTTGCAAAAGATTACAAAATAATATTTTCGCTTATCAATTAAAATTTTGAAGATTAATAGATTAAATCACAATCCATTAGAAATTTGATTATATTCGTTTCATTTTCCAGATTTTATGCTGCTGAAATAGCAATTGGATTATTTTTCCTTCATTCACAAGGCATTATTTATCGTGATCTGAAGCTTGACAATATTATGTTAGATATAAATGGGCATATTAAAATTACGGATTTTGGTTTGTGCAAAGAAAATATCATTGGAGATGCAACAACCAAGACTTTTTGTGGCACACCTGATTATATTGCGCCAGAGGTAAATAATGATAATTTAATAATTTTGATAATAATATTTAGACATAGTTTCTACTAACAAAAGCATCAACTGAATTAGTTGATGCCTGTCTTAATGATTTTTGCATCAAAAATTCATGTGTGATCGAAGTGTGTAAATCAATAATATTTTACGTTTTATCATAACCTATACAAAAAGTGTCTTTTCTTGTGATTAATTCTTGAGTATCTTAAGATAATACTGTATCAACCATACGGTAAGACAGTTGATTGGTGGGCATATGGAGTACTTTTGTATGAAATGCTTGCTGGTCAGCCGCCATTTGATGGTGAAGATGAAGATGAATTGTTTTCAGGTATCAAAATTCTTCAATATTTTTGAGTGGAAAAAAATCATGATAGATTTATTTTCTATTACAGCATATGCTTCTAGGGAAAGTAATTCTTTCTGAAAAATGTCTTAAAGAAGTGAATTAATACAAAAATTGCTTTTGTAGCAATAACTGATCACAATGTAACATATCCTAAATCGATGTCTAAAGAAGCTGTATCAATATGCAAAGCACTATTGCAAAAAAATCCTCAGAAGCGATTAGGGTGTGGACTTACGGCAGTGAGAGACATAAAGGTTTATATTGTGTATTCTGAGTCTTGCAAGCTGTTGTAAAGAATTATATTCTTATATGGTTCTACAAATTTTAATTTTTTTTTGGCTAGCATTTTGAATGCTTAATTAAGGGTAGAAAATTGGAGTATTTATGCCACCTACGAAAATTATCATTCGTGTAATTTACAGGTTTATTGGGGATTGAGCATAGAAAATTGCAATGAATTATTCTCGTTTACTGAGGAATAAATTTTTTTTCTTCAAAATTGAAGAAATTATTTCTGACATATTTATTACTGTGCATATTATGATCATAATTTTCCGATTGCTTTGCTAAGTAATCACGAGAATGATGCTGTTTAGCGTTGTAGTGTAACAATTTGTATTTACAGGAACATCCTTTCTTTCGACGTACTGATTGGTACAGGATTGAAAGACGACAGGTGCAGCCACCTTTTAAACCTAAATTGGTAAGTTGTCTATCATTTCATTTATTTTTATTAATTAATTATAACTACTATTTCACTATTTCGAGAGCAAATTCTTTTCATCTTTGGGAAATCACTGAGAATTATGAGTTTTTTTAGCCTTTTAAATCACAATTCAGGCTTAATTTCAAAAGTAAATGATTTAATTTAATTTAAATGAAGGATTTTATACTAATACTTTTAAAAACTATCAAGTTTATTTCATAATTTAAATTGTAGTTCGGAAAGACATAATTAAATATAAAACATTTATACAAACTTTTTTTCTCTCAGTTTTTTACTTTCATTAATTTTCTAAAACAGTGTGACTTTGTAGTCAATTTAAAATTTTGTTGCATGAAATATAAACACAAAAAGTTATATTTTTTCCTTGCATGAAGTTTTGTTATTGTTTGTAAGTTAGCTTGCATGAATGATTCCAGTTGAATGAAATTACAATTGCAGATAAGTCCCGATTCAACGGAGAATTTCGATTTGCAGTTCAGAAATTTATCTACTAGAATGAGTACTTGTGATATGCAAATTTTGCATAATCTTGAAGGCAATGAATTTCCTGGTTTTAATTACGTCAATCCATACTGGCATGTAAAAGAAACTCATAAAGTATCACTGCAGTAGAACTTTTGAAAAAATTTTTAATCAGCCACTTGCATGCTTGAGTGCACTGCATTGTGAACTGTGACCGGTTTAATAATTTATTAATTAATCAACTTTAATAATTAAGGCAACTTTCAAGGAAAATATTTGTAGTCATTGTGTGCATGCGAGATATATATATATATATAGTTAGTTGATAAAAGTACATATACATTCACCAGCAACTTTGTTCTACCGCATGCTTGGAAAAATTTAATTGTAAAATATGTTATATACTACAAGTATTTGACTTTTTTACAATCAGATAATTACATTTTCTTAAATTATTCAAACGTCATATATGTATAAAAATCATTAGTTTATCGCTAACAAAAGATTTTGTTTTAAATAAGTCATGAATAAATGATATGAACTTTTTTGGCTTTAGTATTTACATTTTCATTGATAGCTATGCTTTTATTATTTTGCAGTTGAAATGTTAATAATTCTTTCAGAAAAAAACAGCATGATAAATAATTTTTTTTGATTTCAAGTTCTAGTCACAGTGATTAAAATTTTTGATCGCTTTTCATCTCAAAATATGCATTCACACTTACACTAATACCAAAAGAAGTTAATTGAAGATTATTATTATCCAGATTGTATGATGATTGTTTCATCCAGAATATTCGCAGAACAATTTATTTTTGAACTACTTTTATGATCCAACTCCCACACAAAAAGAAATTCTTCATTTCCAGTCATATTTGATCTGATAAGCTTTTAAAGTGGATCTCAAAAGAAGAGATAAACGTACAGTTTATCTGATTTTGTATAGCTGCTTTATGATCTAAACAAATCACAATAATTGATCACTGATCGAATTTTGTAGATAGCTTGACGATAAGAACCGAAAGTCTTGATCTTCTTTTTTCTCTCTATTTGCTATTCATTACACCGAATAATCAAATTATTCATAATATATGAAATACTATCAAGAAGGTGGATTTATGATAGTAAAAAAAATTAAAAAATATTCAAATGAACTGTAAAGGAGTAAAACTTCATAAAATCAATTATCATAGTCTGATTTTTACTGCTTCTGTTAGTCAGTGAAATATTGCTTTAACTTTGCTAATTTATACTCTTTAATAGTATAACTTGGCAAAACTAATGAATTACTTTTGGCCACTGTATATCCATCTTTGCACATTTACTGTTAATTGTGTTAAATTTTAATTGTTTATACAAACTTTTTGTTTAGAAAAGCAGAACAGATTTATCAAATTTTGATGGTGAATTCACTCAAGAACCTCCAGTGCTAACTCCGATTGATCGATTGTTTCTGATAAATATAGATCAATCTGAATTCGATGGATTTACTTTTGTAAACCCAAAATATTTGCGGTATTCATAAATAATTACCATTGATACTTCTTTTAATATAGCTAAACATTTTTGAAATCTTTAATTACCATACAAAATAAAAAACCATTTGTTCTTAAACATTCCGTAAATCTTTTTTGCAACAAAAATATGTAAAATAAAATTTTGAAATAGAAAAACAAACAAAAAAAATTTGATTATATTTCTTTCATTCTTGCTTTTTTGAGAAAATTGAAAAAATGCATCAAATGTCTTTTTTGGTTTTTTGCTTGTGTTAATCAAAAATTTTTGCTTTTTATAAGTGTTATTGCATTTTTTGTTGATTTATTTTCATTACTTTGTTGCTTTTTCATTTTTTGCATTGTCTTGTCAAATTTGTTTCTTTTATCAATTGACAATATTAAAAGTGCTTAATAATTATTCATATTTTATATTTGAAAATTAAAAATGAATAGTTTGTTAGAAAAAATTAAGAAAGAAATTTGACTAATGTAAGAGCATATGAAATATTATTACAAACGGCTATTAAAACTTTATTGTTTATCATGCTGCATTAACTTGCATTGCGCATTTTGAAATTTTTTTTTTCTTACAAAAAAATAACTGTTGAATGTAAATCTGTTTAAACATCTCATTATTCTGTACTATTTTAGATAACGCATTAAATTTGATAATTTGTGGAAGTTCATTCCTTAATGATGCTTATCAAAATTACTTTTATGATGACAACTTGATTTGAAAATGCAATTTAGTAGTACCAATTTTCATGTAATTATTAATAACTTAAATAAAATTAGATGGGTTTTTTGTTTATTGTGTAATTATCTTTGGCATTTATATTACACTTATATTTTTTGTCGTATAAATATGTTTTTTAGAAATATTTTTGAAGGCATTAAAACAATATATACCCTTGAAAGTAACATAATCATAAAAACTATTTGATAAAATAGCTTTCTTTTAAAAAGTTAATTTTAGAAATGGGTCATTTGTGTTTGAAAAGTAGAAATTTGGAGTTCTAACTTAAGAATGTGTTTTTATTGCTTTCGCTTTCACTGAATTGTCTATGATCCAGTATATAAAGTACAATACTATTATTTCTGCTCCATCAAAATAAAAACTGAAAGCAGAAAAATAATGTTGGAAAATCACTTAAAGCAGAAAAATTATGCTGGAAAATCGTATTATAGTATTTGAAAATCTTTATGGTAGAACGAATATTGGTTAAATTCATTAGTAAGTAGAAAACTAATTTAAATTATAATTTGCGATGGAATGTATATGACATTTTTCATGATAATCAAGCAATAAAAATTTTGAAAACGCAAAAAAAATTCAATCAAAAGTTCTTGAACTTTAATTACTTAAGCAAAAAATAAACTTTATATTTAATAAGTTAAGTTATTCTTAGTTTGAGTAAACTCATTTCACCACACAAACAATTTTTATTGCACTTCATATTTCATTTAATAAAAACCCATGAATTATAAACAAAATCTTACTCTGAAATTAAATTTGTACTTACTTATAAATGAAAATTGATTATTAGTATATTTAAATTTAATTAAAGTAATATATATGATCTGTCTATTTTTATGCTCTTAATATTTATTTTTATAAATGTGAAAAATGTATTAGCTATAAAAATTTGAAGCAGAAAGCTATTTAATCAAATTCTGTTTCTCATTTATTCAATAAGCTGTTTTTACCTCAAAAAGACATTATTTACTATATATTTATTCAAAGCCATTGCTTACACATTGACACATTTTCTGTTTTAATGCTATATCAAAACTTTTCAGATAAAGCTTTGGGCCATTCAATTTATTTTCTGTTTATACATTTACTGTTTTCAAAAAATGCTCTAATTTCATGCATTTTATTATTAATGATTTTGAAAATTACAAGATAGTACTTTTGTAAAAAACAAATTATATAAGTATAAACAATATAATTAACAATGCGACGTTTTTACTAATTTTTATTTCTGAAAAGAAAAGCATTCCAGTAGCAGTTTGACTAAACGAAACCATAAAAATTATTGCTTATTATTATGAAAATCAGAATTTTCAAAAAATTGAATTTTTTCTTGAATATTTACCATATTGTTAATGATCATATATATTTAACCGAAAATTGCATGCTTTAAGATTATCAAGTCATTGTGCATGGCAGCATACCATGCATATCAAGCACTAAAAAAACAGAATAGTTTTTACTGCATAAAACTGACTGCAAATTTTTTCATTTCATTCATTATGGTCTTTTGATATTCAATAAATAACTCTATTTAATAAAATTGCCATTTAAAATTTATTTACAAAACTTAGTTTTCTCTTTTTAGCCATTAATGCCTTTGTGACAAACTTTCATTTTTCTAATTAAATTAATATTGCATTTATTATCATCATTTTCTTAGTTAATAATAAATCCGCACTTTCATTATAAATTGTAAAGTAAAAGTCCAGCTGTACAATTTCAATTCATTATTTAAAAAATTTTTAATTGCTTTTTGCCTTTTTTTTTTAGATTTTCATATTGGATAGTGAGAAAGTAAATTACATGGATAAACATTTTTTTGCTCAAAGTTCATTGCTAAGTTTTATCTTAGGCATAAAAAACATAAATTTGTGTGCTAGAATTTTATTATTTGCACACTAATGACTTGTGAATTAATTTTGGAATGCAAAATTCAAGTAAGAAAGCAGTAGCTTCCAAAATGTCTTTTTCATGATTTTGTGACATCATTATTTGCTATTTGAAATAAAAAATTTGAAATAATAAAAAAGGATTTTAAATCAAGTCTTAAAACATTCAAATAAGAGTCTAATATTTCTAAATCTTTTTGCTCCAATTTTATTTGAACAATTTATACACATTTACGGTGTATAAATTTTTATCTATTTTTATGAACGGAAAAAAATGCGGAAATTATGACAATGAAAATATAAAATAAGGGAATTGATATTTTTTGCTTTTCGTGTAATAAAGTAAAATAGGTTTTTATTTTCTGTAAGTCTGTTCTTTACAGTTAGATTATTTTATTTATTAAAATTCTAATATTGCAAAAATAATATAGGCAAGTAATTTGGTATTTGAGGAAGTTGACATTTGTTTTACAGTATTTTTGACATCTATTCCTAGTAATTATAACAAAACTGAAGTAAACAAATTATTGAAAAAATTAGCTGCCAGTGAACTGAGAACAAGCTTTTGTTATTTGATTATTAAAAATGCATATACTGGACAAAAACATAATTCAAATATGATTACTTTCATATAATTTATATTTATATATACTTTTTAATAAAAACAATATAAATACAAGAATATAATTTTTAATTACAAATTTATTATACACCATGAATGTTAACTGAATCTAGCTAAGACATTAAACAATGATATTTATCATTTATTTATCATTTCTAAATTTTTTAATGGATCACTTATTAGATGATTTTTCCATATACGGTATGCTTGATAACCTGTAATAATTACAGTCTTTACATTGCTACGCTATTAATACTTATTCATCACTGAATAAAAAGCTTACTTGCAATACTTTATCTTTCTTACTTTACTAAAATTTTTTACTGCATGAATTTTTGTTATTAAGTACTTTTTGCTTTATACCAAACATTTCAGTAGTTCATTTTGACGATTACTCTTACACATGTTATAATTTTATTTAATTTATCATCAGAATAATTGTGAAACCAATAATTGAAAATAATATGTTTGCAAAAGTTTTCTTCCAAAACTCTATCAATTTTTACCTACAGAAATATTTGATCACTCAAACATGATTACTAAAACGTATATTAATTGCTTATTAGTTTTCGTACTAACAACTAGATACATTTTTATCTATTCTATAAAATTTTCTTCATACTAACAACTAGATGTATTTTTATTTATTGAATTAATTTCTTTACATACTAACAGCTAAACATATTTTCATGTATTCTATCAAATTTGATATGATTGCAGTAAAAAATTGCCTTCAAGACAAATTAAGTATAGAAACAAGCTTGTGTCGAAAGCATTTTTGATTTTAGTCTTTATACTGCCTTCATGTCTTATAGTATAGTTGGTAAATAAAAGACAATAAAACACTATTTTCTTAATTTTTTTCTTTTGAAATGTGATTGTGATATAAATTTACTCTATTTTGTTTTGTTATTTTCATACTTTTTTTTTTTTGATTTTGCTACAGTATATGATATTGATTAAAAATTTAACAATATATAATATAGAATGAATATTTTTGCTAATATAATAATGCTAACAGCTATGGATTACTGATTAGCAGTCGCTTGCTTATTCTATCTAGCTTTTACAATAAGAATATGAAGTATAGAAACTTAAAAATTCATAGTCAAGCAAGTATTATCTGTCTCCTTATTACGATTTCAATTGGTAAGAGAGTAATGTTTTGGGAGTTTGAAAAATAATGAGACTTCCTTATTTTTTTGTTCAGACATGAAATACTTTTGCAATCTAATTGATGTTTTGATTACAATATCAAATTAAAATTGTCTTGTGTTTATGACTTGTTTGCTTTATTTTATTCTTGAAATAATAACAAGCTTGTGTTCCAATTGAAGTGTGTTTGTATGTGAATAAGTGTGACCTCACTTAATAATTCATTCATTATTATTTATTTAATTTCTCATTGAAAATTTGCAATGTCATTAAAAACAAGCTTTCCAACTTTTCTTGCTTGTCACTTCAATCTTTTATCATTCATCCTTTAAATGACATTTTGACAGGTTATTAAAGCATATCCATATTAGCTTGTTTTGACTTTTCTTCTATTTCTTTTTCTTCATATGCTTGATTCTGTTAACAAATGTTTTCCTGAAATTTTAATGTTAAATTATATAATTTTATCTAATTGTTATAAATTTTATATAATTGTTATTATATAAATTTTTTTGCAAATATATTTAGTTTTTTATCTAACCAAAAAACAAACTTACACAATTTCATTTTTATAGAATTAAACTCAAGCATATTTTCATTATAAAAATGGACTATTTTTGGAATTTTCTGTTTTTTCTTTATAGCCATAGCTCATTAAATTATTCTTTCTTCATTCATGCTACGAATTAGACATCATAAAATAATATTATTTATTATATATTCTTCATTCGTTGCTTTTTTATTTTATTCTTTTTAAACTATTGATTATATAACTAACTTTATTAAAGAAAATAGTTTATTAAAATCTAATATTGTGCATTGAAAAAAAGAAATGTACAGTTTTAGGTAATGCCAACTCATTCATAACTAAGTCTCTAAAATTCTTAATTAATTATATATCTGAATTTTTAATGTTTTTTTTTTGATTTGTGTTTTTTCTGTAACAATAACACAAGATGAGAAGATTTGCACAAATTTGACATTTTTTAATTTCATACATGCTCTAGAAAAGCAATTTCTTGCATTAATTTTAGATTACTTTTGTCGTTGCCATTAATTTTAATTGTTTTATTTACATTAATAATATGACGTATGTTAGAACAGTAACTTTCACTTTCAGATAATAACAAATCTGGTTCAATAATAATATGGACAATGTGCAAATCATTCAAATTAATGGTACATAACTTATTTAAACAATCATAAAATATTATGAACTAAATAAAATTGAGGTTCATGTATTCTAGTGCCTCTTTCTGTTATTATCAATACTATTAATTTTTATAATATATTAATATTATTGTTAATGTTGTAGCATTAGTGATCTTTTTTTGCTATGTTGTGTTTTAAAAAATTGGGATATCCATGATTATACTTATTTACACACTAGAAAAAGTAAATGAAATCCATGCAATTTGCTAAAAAAAAAAAGATGATAAGCTCTCCTTATATCAGTTTTGTACTTCCACTGATAGCAGCAAGATAGATTGGCCAAACAGCACTATCCGTTTTATCCGTAAAAGAAAGAGGTTAAGTTTGTATGACTTTTATGGTTTGAAATAACTGAGGTTAGACTTTTTCATACATTTCTATTGTGTACAAAAGTATCACGAAATAGCGATAATTATTTTAATAGTGAATCCATGCAAACTGCTGTCTTAAATGAGAACATATATAACTTACAATGTCATTAATTAAAATATCACTTAAATGATATAGTAAAAAGAACATTAACGTCATAAAAGCAAAACTTGGAGTTTTTCAATACTTGGTTCAATCTTTATATTTAATTTTTTATTTAATTAGCATTTAATCTAAATCAGTAATAATGCTCAGTATGCTCACCGATGGATTGAATTGAATTTATCAATATTTTTCATAAAAAAATCTGTTGAGAATAGTAGATATAAAAAATTAAGTAATATCAACAATAAAAGCTTTGACTATTTTCCATTCTGATGCTGCTAATGGGAAATTTTTACTTTATTATTATTTCAACAACTTTTAGTCTATGATTACTTATAATTTTTTAAAGATGATGTTATAAATTTTATTTTTTGCAGTCTGATGAAAAGCAATTATTTCATTGGTAATAAAAAAATGTTCTACACCTATAATCAAAATTTAGGCATAAAAATTAGTATAACTTTTTTTATTGCTATTTCATTGACAAAATGCAAGTAGCTGACATTTGTCTAACCATTAATATTTTGCAAGCATTTGATATTTAAAACTATTAGCAAAATTAATCCATCCTAAAAAAATTCTTGTAAACTTAATGTTGCTTTGTACTGTAGGTCGGAAACTTTTCTTAAAAAGTAAATATAAAAAAATTTGTCAACTTATTTTATTTTATGACTTGTCGTCGCTATCTTTCTTAAATCATACATTATTGAAAGATCCGAAAATTATAAGTTTTTATAATGGACTATCAAACTTTAAGCAAAAGCTTAAAGGGTACGAAATCTTTAATTTATAGCTGCCCCACAACTCATCTATCCCTTTCAACTTCGTTAAACTTTATTTATTTTCATGATAACTTAGTAATGATTGTGCTGTCTGATGCAATTAATAAGCTTTGTTACAAGATTTCTTGTATTGTTAAATGAAATATCTTCTAACAAACTTGGAGTATAACATAATTATATTTTTTTAGTTCACAAATTTTTGCAAAAGTGTTAAAATTCAACATTTTCATAATATTTTGTTTGCTTATTTTTAATGTTTTTATTTCGAAAACAAAAGTATTAATAAAGTTTTTGTTAAGCTGTTAAACTTTAATACTTTATACAATAGTTAGAACTTAGGAAATGTAACTAAATACTTCAATGATTTGCAAAAAAAAATCAAAGTAATCAGTTATTAAGCAAATTTTGTCACAAATTTTTTTTTCTTAGCTAAAAATTTAAAGTTTTCCATATTATCCTCATTTGTGGGAAATTTGAAAAATTTTTGCTTATTTTTTGCTCATCTCTTACATTTAAGTTAAGAAAAATTTGCCTTATAATTGAATAGTGGTGCTTTAACTATTTTTAAATAATTCTTTGATGATGCTAATATACAAGGGATTATATCACAACAAAATACGAACTTGAGAACACATATTGAAAAACTTTGCATTAACTTTCCGATTATGAAGTTTTCTTCATTTTTTTTCGTGGCTGGAACTATTTGTTAATAAAAATTGAAATGGCTGTCATTTTAGAAAAGTCAACAAAATATAAATGCCCGCTGATGAGCATTATTTATATGTGTTCCAAAAGTGTGACAAATGAATATGTCATGAATTTACAAACATAACTTAAATATAAATATAAACTCGAAAAGAAAACAAAATGTGATTGTCACTTTATGAATATTCAGATGGCATTACAAATATTCATACCATGATTAACTATCAAGTGAATTTAAAAAATGTCTCCATTTGATAATATCTCATTATTAATTTACGCTGCTATCATTTTTGTCGCATTGGGTGGTAATTTGCTAGTATGTATTGCTATATTATATGATCGGAATTTACGACGACAACATGAAAACTTGTTCCTGGTCTCTCTTGCTGTATCTGATCTTTTAGTATCTGTGCTAGTAAGTTCTGTCTCCATTTATGATCACTTTATTCATTTTTTTTAAGCTAATAAAAACTTTTTTTTTCTTCCTTTTAGTGCTATCTTTATTCCTGTACAAATTCAACTTCCATTTTGATATTTTTTACCAGGTAATGTCATTTGCGGCAGCGAACGATATACTAGGATATTGGCCTTTTGGTCGCTTATACTGTCAGCTTTGGATATGTTTTGATATTACCTGTACTACAGCATCAATCCTTAATCTTTGTGCAATTGCCTTACATCGATTCTTGTATATCAGTCGACCTCTTGTCTATGTCAGGTTGCTTTTACTGCATGTCATATTTAAATGTGAATATAAATTAAAATTAATCAAATGAACAATTGACAAATTTTTAACAAAAAATGTTCATTCAAAATAAATAGATAAATAAATGATTAAAAATTTTAGTGATGATTAAAATCAAAAAAATAAGTTCAAAAGAGACTGAAACAAAATTTATAAGGAATTGCTGCTGCACAGTATGAATTTATACTTGCGCCGTGAAAAATGATTTTGAGGAAAAAAAATACTGAATCACTTTCAGTATTTTAAAATAATTTTTGCTCGCACTTTAGTAAACAAACTTATTTAATTTTGTTTAGTCTTGAAAAAATAAATTGCAAAAGTTATCAGCTGCTTTTTACTTGAAAATTTTTTTCAAGAATTTTTCATCTTATTTTTTTGACGACAATCATTAGTAACTGTACAGTAAGCTTTCGTGATTTTTTAAATTTAACTTCAATGCTAAATACAAATTTTTTACCTCTAAGACTATGAATAAAATCAAATGATGAATAGTCCAAAAGGATCTTTAATTTTTCTTTAGTGAACAAAACTATTATGCTTATTGAAATAAAATTTTAAAAAAAAGTGATGATATGTGAATATCGCATGAATATAATCTAAAAGTATTTTGAAAATAAATTATCTTAGAAATTTTAGAAGACGAAAGATATGCATTGTAATAATATTTGTTTGGTTAATATCGGCTAGTATTGGTTGCACGCAAATAATTTTGGAATTAGCACAACGTCATGAAGAAAGTAATAAAGCAAATGAAAGCACTTACATTAATTATGACAGGTAAATTTAAATTCCTTTTTTTTTTCTTAACAAATTTAAAAATGTTGATTTTTGCAAAATATTAAAAAAGTTTTTCATTGTATGAAATAATTTCAAAAGTATGATTATTTATTCTTTATAATTTAATTATTACTATTATAGCTCTCAATTGATATGTGAACTACGACTCAAGCCATTATATGCTCTAGGCAGTTCAATGTGTAGCTTTTTTACTCCAGCAACAATGATGGTACTACTTTATACTCGTTTATACCTATTTGCTAGGAAGCATGCAAAATTAATGCGCACTCAACTTGAGCAGACATCCAACTTTGCCGTCATACCTGTTACAGCAGAAACAATTCAGCAGGTGCCGTTTTTGTCTATCAGTCAGATTTTGAATTTTATTTTTGAAACACTCACCATTTTTAGTTTTCTACATTTTTATTACCATTTCATTTGCTTTTTAGCCTATATAATAAAGTAATGTAATTGGATGCCACTAAAATTATTTCTCTTATGAACTGTACTTTTATCTATTTGATAATATTTTAAAGTTTGCAGCAAATACATTGTAAGATATAGTTGATTTCACATATTAACATATACATGGGACATTTGAAAATGTACATTACACTCAATAAATATTTATGCTCATTTTCTAATTCTGTATGCATTACTGTTGCACAAAAATACGATAATGATCCAGGTGTTTTAGATGACTTGATTAAAAAAAAACTAAATTGTTGCTTATTTTTTGCTTCATATTTTTTTGGTAGCAAGTATTGTAACTAACAGTAAGGAAATTTAAAAACTTTTTGAGCTAAAATTTATCTTATAAATTTTATTTTAACTCAAGTGGAATGACTTTTATACATGTGATCATGCATAATACTCGATATTATTAGCTATAATAAATTTTCAGAATAAATATCCTAAAAAAACTTGTTTATATCTATGATTAAGCATAATGATTGCCAAAGTGTAGCTACTTTGTGGCAGTTGATCTTCATTTACTCGAAAAAAGAAAACGACTTATCAAAATGAAATAGTATTTGCTTTAAAATCTCATCTATATTATATGTAAACGAAATAATTCTTGAAATAGTAAAAAACTACCGGCTATTTTTATGAATAGCAGAAAAAATGGTTTTGTTGACCTTTCTTACAAAATAATTTTAACTTTCGATTTAGCTAAACTGAACTCTTCAGAATGCAAGTACTGGATTTATGCAGAAATTCATTATATGTAATTGCCATCGAAATGATTCTGTAGTGTCAAAACGAGCGAAATCTAAAAATCTATTATCACAAGTTTCGGTAAATGATCAAAAAGCAAGGTAAAATATTTGCTGTAAAGCTTAAGCTAACTTTCTTTGGACCAGAATGCAAGATCATCAATATTTTTATTCAAAAGATCAGAATTTTTTTCTGACCTATATGTTCATAACTCCATATTAATTCTCTTTATTTACCATAAAACTGTATTGTTTTACCAGTTAATGAGACTAAAATTATTTTCTACGTGCTTAAATATTTGTTACTTTACTTCTATGAACAACTCAACTTTAGTGATTAATAGTAATTATCTGTTTCTTTGCTTTTTGTAACGATCACTTTATTATTAACTTTGTATTACATGCAGATTAGGGTTCTCTATATTATGACAAACACTACATGATTTTGTTGACTCTTTTAAATTCATATTATTCATATATTTTATATATTTCTAATTATTCTAAACTTTTTTTGCATTAATTGTCATTTTTTCTTCAAAAATTTTTCCTGCAAATTTAGTGCGCTTCTTTAGAAAATTGATTAATTTTACAGGTTTACACTTGGAGTCATAATGGGTACATTTTTAGTTTGTTGGCTACCGTTCTTTATTGTGAATGTGGTTCGTTCATTTTCTCCTGGTTTGATATCTGAACCACAATTTGAGGTACTCCTTATTAATTACAGTTATATTAGTTTCTGTTGTAGAAAAGTTCATCAAAATGCAAAAAAAAAGCATGTCATCGGTAGAAACAGTACCATTTCATTTAAGTCAGTTTTATATCAAAATAATCAATAAGTCATTGAGCCAATGATTTTCAGACCATAGCAAATTATCATACATATTTTGATGTTATTGTTTGATTTACAGTTTGCTCAGAAATTGTTTAATATCAATAATGAGTCTGTGACTAGCAGAGGAGATCTTTTATTGCTTATTTTCCATATTGGTTACGGTATGCACTGTTGATTATTAAGGCTGTCACATGGCTAGGTTATGCTAATTCCACAGCAAATCCAATCATTTACACAATTTTAAATAGAGATTTTCGAATTACTTTCAAAAAAATATTATTCGACAATATATTGGGCTCAAGTCGAGTTGTTCTTCGTTTAGAAAAATCAGGGGTATGTATTTCGTGACTTGTTCATAAATATATTTGGTTCTTCATTTACGAATTTCTGCTTGATTTACAGTTTGTTCAGAAGTTGCTTAATATCAGTAATGATAGGATTGACTTCAATTTGAGGATTTTGTGCAGAGAGAGGGAAAAGTTAAGTAACTTTCCAGCTGTAAATTAGAAAATATTAAAAAATTATTACATCAGTTTAAAAATTTAAATACTGCTTTTCAATAAGTTATTTATGAAGATATGATTAAAATTAATGATTCATTTATGAATTCGTTACAGGGGGGACACCATTCGCTAACGGTTAAATCTCTTATGAACGATAAAAGGACTTATAATAATGCACCATCAAAATAATTGTTAATAAAGCATTAAGAGATTTTTTACATTTCCTTTCCAACTATAGTTATGGGTGATTTATTCAAAACAGTTAACAGAAAACTGTATGCTGATACTTTGAAATCCGTCTATTGATTGTAAAGGTGGGATGATAAATGAAGTATTTTAAAAGCATGATTTCTTGTACTTCATTTTGTACATCTTTTTTATCGATGATAAGCAGTTTTGTGATATTCGTATTTTCTAGATATATGTTCTACTGTTAATGCTCACAGTTGTTCATTATATATACATCAACAAACTGCAAGTCTTACAGCATGGAATGCTAATACTTAAAAGAACTGATTCATCGTTTAAGTAATGATGAGCATGAAAATGTCATCATGAATCAATTTTATTAAGTAAAACAAGTATCGATTGGAAAATAGATGATAAATTAAAGAAATATTTATGTATAATTAAAACTATAAAATTGTGAAGAAAATGCATGTAGTATGGAATGAAAATGAAAGCCTACATGAAATAAATGCAAAGATGGTAAAATTGTAATGCCAATGTAATGCCAAGTAGATTGTTAAGCTCTTCTAAGATGAATAATGACATGTATAGAATCTTATGATGAAAGTGTAGTTGATGAATATGATAACAATAATAATATCAATAGTAATAATAATAACAATGGTAGAATAAAAAACTAATCTAAGAATATAGTTACTATATCTTTCATAAAAATAAATACAAATATCCCATTCATATCTTTATAGCAGTGCATAGTACAATTCAAGACTACTGTTTATATTTGGTAAAATTGATTCATCTTTAGGCAATTCGAAAAAATTGTTCTATTAGTGGTTTACGTAGTACACTGGTAACACAATTTACGAATCGAAAGAAGGAGAAATGCTAGTTTCAGGAATGCATAATTTAATGATATCTTTTCTTAGCTATGCAGTGAGAAATACATTTTGTATATTATTGGCATTTATGTGTGAATTTTGACAGGAAGAAGAAGTTCGCAATGCAGATATGATTAAAGTAAGAAAGCTATGGACTCCTTGTACAAGAGCAAAAATAACCATCACATTTACTGTTATTCATCAGTCAGTATAGTGTAATTGAGCAACGTGCATCATCATCATACACGGTTCGAAACATTTCTACAATATGCAAGATACAAAATGATTGCACATGAAAGCATTTGTTACAGTATGTAAGAATAATGTAAGGTAATATGTTGCAATTCAATAAGCTAATACAGTGGCAAAGATATGAAAGGATAACAAAATTGAGTTTGTTTTCACTTTAATTGATTTTATTTACTCATTAAAGAAATGCTTGTCAATTGTGTCTTCAGTGCATTTTACTTGCTAGCCTTGTTCGATGCCTTTTACCAACTTGGTAGTCTCAGACATACACAGCAAAAAAGGAACTAGCATATTTAAAAGTGAATAGCCTCCATAAATGCTTCCAATAAATTGCTTTTCCATCTATCTACTTATTACACAAACAGTAGCACCCCATTAATGGTCACATCATTCGATTCACAAATCTTTATCATTTACTGGTGTTGTTGTTTACAATTACCGTCAATGCTCGTCTTTGCACAGCACCTTTCAATTCGTCCTTTGTACTTTTTTTGTTGTATATGGATTTTAATAATTCAATTTATCAGTGCAAAGTACTCAGAAAGATTTTCGTATCATATTTTTGCAACAGCATTAAGGATTCATTTGCATGGTACACCATCAGTTTATACAAAGACTAGTGCCACTTTACCACTTTAACTGCGGGGTACTAAAGAGTCATATGCTACTAATTATGTGATTTCATCGCCATTGTTCGAATTGTTTTTATTTAATTGTGATGAACGGTTGTCTTAATTTGATGTGAGTCACTGAAACAGGTTCAAATGAATGTGCATCTATCTATAGGAAAGAAAAATCTATCTATTCATCATTAAATACCAAGTGTCGTCATCATATCGCTATAAAAAGACCACTAAACTTTCGAACATCATTTTTTCCATTCCATGTTTTTGTCTATTTAATTTTGACAAAAAAAGTAAAAGTAACTTTCTGTGAAATGTAAAAGTAATAATAAATCCAAAATAGGGCAGGCATTTGAGGATAATAAACGTAGTGCATTCACGTTAAGAAATTAGGATGCTTTCCTCGCAGGTTTGATCATAAGGAAACTTTCTCGCAGACATTAGAAGGATGATTGGGATGAAAATGTGAAGTGAGAGAAGAGGAAGGAGAATTAAGGAGAATTATCAAAGCTTCCGGCTGATCACTGGTTAACCCGAGAAATTTCACCGATCACTTGGGGAGAGGGAGAATATGGACAGTCGAAGGTGGGTTATTTATCAGGCCACCTATACGACATCATTTCACTCAAACACCATCCAATATTGATAGTACTTTTACCATATGCACATGCACATACACACACATACACATACACATACACGCACACACACACACATGCATTATATTCACATCTACACGCACTATTACATTCAAATCGTTCATCTTCAGTTCTCATTTATTTTTCTTTTTGTTGTTGAGAATTTCACGAATTTTTCTCGTAACTTTTATCGAAATTACCAAATGTAATTATTGTTGTAGCAGTTCTTTGCATTATCTTCTTTCGATGATAGCGCTCCTACTAAAAAATTTATCATTATTTCACATTACCCAGTATTTGTTTAATATAATTCTTATACTGGTTGTAGAAATTCGTGTTTTTAGTAATGGTTGTTATCGTTGTAATACTGTCAGGTTACACTTTGACTGTCCTTAGTGATTGAAAAAAGATCAAAAAAAAGTAGTTGCAGTCAAGTCATCCTTTCTCATTCCATTGCTCGCCAAACTTGTCACTACTTTGTGCATTATCTGAAACAAAAAATTAATATTTTTATGTATAATTAGCCCATGGAAACGTCCAAAATGTTCATTTACGTCCTGAAATCATATCTTGTTTTTTTTTTCGAATTTTTCTTCATAATATTGCAAGATGAAAATTATAAAATGGTGTAAAATTTTGAAGTTTCAAATAGTCTATTTTATAGTTGAAAAGAACTCAAGAATTACAGTAACTGATGTAACTGATATTATTATTTATAACCATTTTTATTATATATGTATGTATCGTGTCACCAATATCATGTAGTTCATATATTAAGATTAAGTGCTTATAACAATATGCTTGTCGATGCTACTGCTCCAGAGATTGCTATGAAAAGACAGGAATATGATTCTTCTAATAAAAAAGTTAAAAAAAAATGATATTCATACCATTTCTGCCTCTTTCTTGTTTCATGCTTGATTTTCTCCCTTTTTTCTGTTTTTTTTTTCAAATTGATTTCAACGATGGTTGAAATCTATCTATTCTTGTTTAATACATTACACTGGTTACTCACTAAAACCTGCTCTAACGAGGAATGAACTGAGTAAACAGATGTAGACAAACAAACAAATAAATAATGGTATAATATATTGTATGCAGTTGGAGGAAAATCTTGAAGACTACTTCACTACTGATAGCATTTATCCGTAATAAAACTTCACTACTAATAGCATTTATCCGTAATAAGTTTGGCTGTGAACACTTGAGTACTGTTTCTACATTTTTCTTTCCGTTTCCTTTTTAATTTGCAAAAATTTAGTCAGCAAATTCAAATAAAATTAGTTTTCTCAAGCTTACAATTAGTATGTGGTGGGTGTTCACTTCTTGCTGCAGCATACTATAGAATATTATTCATGCCTCCTGTTCTGGAAAGTAGCACCCACTCTATTCAAAAGCTATCATAGAGTAATCTTAAAAATTGCTCTTTTGTACTAGAATCATTATTATTAACCTTTTTCGAAAATGTAAAACTTTACCAAAATTAAATTGTTTGCTTTAATTTGACTAATAATTTTATTAAAATGCAAATGCAAAGACTCAGACATAATATGACCTCAGTCTTCTGCTTACTTGTAAATCTTTCTTTATTACTTCATTCCCTCAAACAAAAATACCGTGTTGTTGAGCAAGAACAATCTCTCAAAATGCATTCCGTCATAATCTTTCTCTTTCTATGCAATACACTGAAATATAATTTTATTAAACTTATTTGTCATCCATCATAACTGTAAAAGAATAGTCATTGGTTTTCTTAACATTCTTCCATTGCATATTGTCCCGGTCAATCTGTGATTACATGACATAAAACTGAAAATGATACCTTTTTAACAAGTCGTTAACAATTAAAAGATCTATCACCTTTTCTTGATAAGTGACATCAATTTCATATTCGTTATTGCTTTCTAAATTTCAAATATAAGGTTACCAGTAAATATTGACAAATTATGCCCTACCAAATATTTAGAATTAAAATCACTAAAATAAATATGTTCAATGGATAATTATGATAGTTGCAGTATGGTTCTCTTGAAAGCTATGATAGCACAGTTGATAGGCTCAATGATTCTTGTTGGTGTCATCAGTCAACATAGTGGCAGTCATTCCAATCACAGTGAATCTAAGCAAGACGTTAGTACATCAACGCTGGTGAATGGTCCGATGTCATCGGAAAATGTTGATATGCTGACATTTACTCAAAGTTTCATGAGTAATACAACAGTATCAGATGCAAACAAAATTCTTCGAACTTATTCCATTGCTAGACCTCCTTTGGTCGCAGCTTCCCGTAGTATCGTGCCATCTGAGAGTCATACATTTGACTCTATATTCGACAAAAAGTCAGTGCCGGAGACAAATCTAAAATCTCACTCAAATTCTGAGTTTGCAACAACAGGTAGACCAGAACCGCATTTGCAACCTAAAACAGATCTGAAACCTGAACCACATTCTAGACTCGATGCGGTCGTGGAACCTGAATCGCATTCTGAACCTGAAAGGAATCTGAAATTTGAACCAGATTCTGGACCCGATGTGGTAGTGGAAGCCAAACCTACTTCAAAACCTGAAACGAATCTGGAACCAGAGCCAGATTATGAGCTCAGCAGCAGTCCAGAACCTGAAACAACTCCGGAGCCTGAGCCAGGTTCAGAACCAGAATTAAATGCTCAATACGAAATAAGTCCAGAGCCTCAGCCGAATCCGCAATCTGAACCAAACCAAAAATCTGAATTAAATCTTCAGCCCGAACCAACTGCAAAACCCAGTATATTATATTCGACTAGTTTTTCTCGTCATCAATCCATGCCCGTCACCACAGCACAACAAATTTTTTACCAATTCGCTGACAGTTCTTCGATCTTGCCTCTACATTCATCTGAACTATCAGTTACCAAAACTATTCAGAAAGATTCTCAACCATTTCCTGAACCGGAATCAGGGAATGTGCTTAGTAATACTATAAAAACGTCATCTCAAAACAGCGCTTTCAAAGATGAAATTGATCAACTCGATGAAGAAATTTATAGCAGCAGCGAAGATTCGGTGAGTGATGGTTGATCACTTCAAATGCAAAGAAATGAAGCCATCGAAGAATACTATAATTTTTTTATGCATTTTTGGCAGGAATAGATTTGCTTCCATAATTAATTCATACATTGCGAGATAGAATTTGTTAAAAATACTAATTTGCAGTCAAAACCAGATACCATTGATAATGAAGCCATTGAAGAACTGGTTAATCGATTCTTAAGTAGTGATTTAACAACAGATGCAAAAGAAACAAAACTAAATAAAGAAGCTCTGAAACTAATTAATTCAAGCAAATACTGGAATGTAGACAATTTGGAGGTTTCTTGATTTGTCCCAATCTTTTTTCTTAGTGAGAGGAACTTCCTGTAAATTTAATCAAGTAACTAATTCTGAACTAATTTTTGACAGAAACGATTGCTGTAGTTAAGATAATGATCTTCAGCCAGAAGGTTCTATACATGATAGCTCTAAAGCACGAGAGTGGATGAATGGATATGCAGTTGAAGCACAGAAAGTGTTACGTGAAGTAGCTATAGCAGGATGGAATTACGTGACGTCTGTATCGCATCTTACTAAACAATTTCTTGATGAAGCAGAAGAGGTTTACTTACTTCATAAAAATTCAGTAATGAATAAATTTAAAAGCAGCAATATGGGTGCTCGTTTCTCTTCACTGAATTGTTAAGTATTAATTAAACAATTATGACAGTTTTAAGGCCAATCCGTGTTGGGATTTAGACTGGCATAATTTATAAGAAAATTTCAGATTCTAGCAAAATTCGTGAAAAGTAGTTCAAAGCAAGCGAAACAGTTCAATATTGAATCAATTGAAGATCCTTTACTAAGGCGCCAATTCGAGCTTCTTTTGGTTGAAGGAATCAGTGCATTAGATGATGCAGATTTTGAAGAATATACAGAACTCCAAAAATTGGTTAGAGTACTTCATTATATACTATTAATATTGTCTTCTTGCGGTCGATTTTTAGCCATTCGTTTCAGATATCAAAAACTTATGTGGAAACTGCTATATGTGAAGTGAACAGTACGACAATGTGTCCTTACAGGTTTGATGATTGAATACTTATTCAGTTGGAAGCATGAAAGGTTTATTTTCATTTTAGTACTCAATCAGTTTCGAAATTATGAATACAAAAGTCATAATTAAAGGATGTCAAACTTTGTGGAAAAGTCTTGGTTCAAGTACTTTTATTGTAATCGCGTTTTTTTTTTTGTTAATTTTCTTTCCAGTTTCTGGAGCATTTAGCTTTTACATCTGAAATTGCTTGAAATGTCTTCAACAAACAGTTTAAAAAAAGTAATTACTATGTTATTGTAGAATATCCGATATTGCAACTATAATTGCTCGAGAAAACAACAGCTCACGAGCATTATTTTTTTGGATCAAATGGCGTGATGCATTAAGTCAAAAGCTTGCTGCTTCTTATGGTCGTTTAATTGAACTTATTAATAAAGGTATCTTTAGAAGTTATAAAATAAATTATTATGGAACTTTTTCAAAAATTTTTGCCAATGATTTTTAGGAGCAAAACTGAATGGTTTCCCAGATGGAGGAGTGATGTGGCGCAGTCCTTACGAACTTTCTACTGCACGACATAATAGGATCAATGATAGTGGTACTCATGCTCTTCTGCAGCGATTATATCAACAGATTAATCCATTTTATAAACAGGTCAAGAACAATTTGTGTCAGCAAAAAAAGCAACATTTAAAAAATTTTCTTCATGATTTATTAAGACTTTGTTAAAGTGAAGACAGAAATCTTGTTAAACATGTTAAATAATGCAGGGAATTCAAACTTTTAGCTCCATGCATATATAAGACGTCAAATTGCTGGCCTATACGGTACATCAAATACACTAGGTCTTACACGAGATGGTCCTATCCCAGCTCATTTACTTAGTATGTTATTATCACATTAATTTTTGATGTCCTTCAAACTATCACGATTTTTTAAAATCAAATATACTTTTTATTGAGATAAAAAAGAAATTATACAGGAAAAAGATTGAGTTTCATTTCAGAAAGTGTGAGTAGCGACAACTGGATTGCTTTCTATCCGGATACTAAGCCATTCCAAGAAAACAATGATCTTTCAAAAGAAGTACAAGAAAATTTACAACAACAAAATTATACTGCAAAAGATATGTTTAAACAGGTTAGTAAAGTGTGCTCAGGTATTTGCAAAGAAAAGATAAATGCAAAAAACTAAATAGTTACTTGGTTTTGATGAATCCCAAGTATAAATTTTAGGCTTATAAAACCCTCCGGATGCTTGGATTTGACAAGTTGCCATCAAGTTTTTGGTCAAAATCTATTTTCACAAGAACTTGGAGTAAAGATATGATTTGTTATCCACCAGCAGCATATGATATGAGAAATGGCAGTGACTACAGGTTTGACCTTTGTTTTCATAACTTGTCACTCAGTAACTCTAACCAGTATGAAATAAGGTCTTAATTTTTTCAGTTGATTGTGCACGCGACTGTTTTCAGGGACTTTGTTATTGAATATTCTTGTTGAATGAATTTTACTAAATATGTTCGAAATTGAATAAAGTCAGTTTCAGATTAAAGGCATGTCCTGAGCTCAGCTTAATGGACTTTAAACTAGCTCACAAGTTACTTCTTCATATCTATTATTATTATTCATATCGTGAACAACCGGTTGTATTTCGTGAACCACCCAACCCAAGTTTCCTAATGGCTGTAACAGATGCGTTTGCAATAAATGCTCACAATGTGGAGTATTTGAAAAAACTGGTATTTGTAATTCGACAAATTTGGTGTGATCGTAATAAGTGTTTTATTCAGTTTGTTCACGAAACAGAAATGCTGTAAGAACTATTTTTTAGAACAAAAAATAGAGAAAAATTTGCTTCTTTTTCAAATCAAGATCATTGACTTTTCTGTAGAATACTTTTTAGAAACTGATCACATCCAAGTCAACCATAACTCATTCAAGAATTATCAACCGTTTATATTTCGAAGCATTGAAAGAATTTGTCAAATTACCATTTGAAATTGCTGTGGATATGTGGCGATTTCATGTATTTGATGGCACTTCAACAAATCAAACTTGGAACTCTGACTGGTGGCGATTAAGGTAAGTGATATCATTCATGTTAAAAGATACATTATTTTAATTATCAATGATAAAAAATTTTCTGTATCCATTTAATTTGTGATACAAAACTACTGTAGTAGATATTGCAATTATATCTTGTTCTGAAAGACTAAATAATTTGGAAAATAAATTGAATGCAGTAGATTTTCATTTGACAAAATATTTTTTGAATAATTTGATTTTTTTTATAGTGAATTATTCCAAGGAATCAAATCACCAGTTGAGCGCAAATCTACTGATTTTGATGCCATCGCTTTTTCAACAGTTGCTCAGACACATGCCCCAGCTATCAAGCAGTTCTTCGCTTATATTATGCGGTTCCAAATTTTAAAAGCACTGTGCCCCAACGCAACTATTTTGGTACAGTTTTAATTTTGTTTTAAAAATTTATTTAGTTAGAGAAATCAATTGAACATATTAGACTAAAATATATGTGATAACAAGTTGAAATCAGAATCATTCTGAACTTAATATTAAAGTTATCTTTTATAATGTTTGCCAAAACATAAATGAACAATTATTTACTAATAAAGTTTAATTGATAAATCTGATAAATTCAGCTAAGAATTCCAGTAAAAGTGAATTAAAATCATTATAGAGTGATGGGTGTGTGTTAGAACCTGATTCAGTTATTGAAAAAATCAAAAACGTGATGTCACTTGGTTCGTCAATTACTTGGCGCCAAGCACTAGAACTTATTACAGGTTTCTTGTTCAAACATAATCAAAAACATAAAGACAGTAATTTTGCAATAACTAGACCACAACTCAGATGTGCAGAAATATAAATTAATTAAGAGAATTAAAAAATTATTTAGAATTAGTTACAAAGCTAATTGTTTGATGAGAAAAATTTCGTGGCATGAGATTAATATGTTATTTAGTTTATATTGTCACTGTTTGCTAATTTTTTATCTACTCAAGCATTTATCTTGTATTAATTTGAAAATTTTAAAGGTATGTTTATAAGTGATCAGAAATAGTTTTAAAGTATGAAAGATAGCTTATGTGTTTTATCATTAAATAATAAGTACTGTACGTTAAATTAAAGTTTTTAAATTTATTTAAATTTGATCTGATATGATATGATAGGTAGTAGAGACGTCAATGCAAGTGCTATGCTGGAATATTATCAACCGCTTATAACTTGGCTTGAGGAAGAAAACACCAGAGAAAATGTTTATATTGGTTGGGATGGATCTGGAGAAAATTTTATTGCGTACTTTTTTATGTTTTCACCGTGCCAATATTTATTTTTAACTGCTTTTATTTTTTTATTTACAAGAGCATATTTCGATTGTGACATTTATGTCTGGTAAAAAAATTAAACAAGCACATTTATAGATCCGAAATACCAATTCTGAAAAATAGCAGCAAGAATTCATCACCTGAAGTCTTATATGGAAATCAGTTTGCATTCCCAGGTCTTTTTGTTTTGGCATCAATTAATGTTTTATTTAATTGAAATTTGTTTAATATCTGAATTTTCAGGAGGTGATTGTTCAAATGGAAGAGAATGTTTGCTGGAATCTGTTTGCGTAAATGACATCTGTGAATGCAGAGAAGGCTTGTATACTCTACGAATTGGCGACACACACAGTTGTGTTTCTGAGAATCCTATTAATGCTGGTAAGATTTAAATATAGTTCAAAAAGTGATATCCAATTATTTGTTAATTTAAAAACTTTTTATTGACAGATATATGACCTATAATCATTCCTTCATTAGCTTGAACTTATTAGACTTAGACAAGACTTACTATCAGCTTACAAACAAAAGTCTTCCTTAAAATGACTGTGCTTAAAATCTTATTTTATTATTTTTATTAGTAGCAGCTGTAATTGCAATTTAAGCCATTGAATTTAAATTTTACAACTTTTAATGATGTACAAGAAGTATATTCCCTAAAGAAATAGTGAAGAAGTGTTCCATAAGATCAGTTTCCTTCTTTTAGTATTAAGATTATGATAGAAATATTTATAATATCAAATTTACAATGTCAAACTGCTAATATATCTTATATATTGACAATAATTTAGTTTTCTGAAGTACTGGTAACAAGTAGCAACTTATGTAAAATTAGTGTATGCTTTTATTTTCAGGATTTGGAGACAACCAAGGTGGCTTAATTATTGGTTTACACCCTGTTGATAGAAATGATGTAGAACCATTCCCTGAGCCTGAAATCAATGACAAAGAAACAAGAGTTGAAACTTTGAGTGACGAACCTAATCCTATACCTGAATCAAAAAAATCTTCTGAATGTTCAAAATTACTTGGTGCACTTTTACCTTTCGTTGCTTTGATGAACTTACTGTAATTTCTTACTCCCAAATAATTTTAACCTTAAGCTCGAAAGGTTACTTTTGAAATTAACTGATGAATTAATTTATAGGAAAAATTGATGATAGAAATTATGAAAAGATAATTTATAGTGATTTTTTCGCTTATTCATGAAATTTTTTGTAAGCTAAAAAAACTGACCTTTAAATATTCTTAGTTCGATTATTTGATTCCTTAACTGAGTAACTTTAAAAAAATTGATTTCTCATATCGAGGCCATACTGAGGGCATATAAGTTGAAATTTTGAATATGTTTTTGACATTCTACTTTTATTTTTTTAACTTCCTTAATTATTTTGTTGATTTTTAGTAAAGCTCACTTTAATCATGTAAAATCGATAGTGTACTTTGTTTTTTTTTTTACTCATATTTGATCTTGTTATCAGTTTTATAGACTATTATTGTTTGTAAACTGATAGTCAATCTTTTCTAAGTCTGATAAATTCAAGCTAATAAGAAAATGATTATCTCTTGTTTAATACTACATTTTTTTTTGAAAGACTTTTTATTCATAGTTACTTCATTTCCTAGATTAACAGTTACAAAGCTATCTCGGGTAGTAAATTTGCATATTTCATGAATATATTTTCACATCTTTATTGCCATTGTCATTTTATTGAATCCCATGTCGTTCCCCTTGCACATGAACTTTGTACTAAAACACTAAACTCAAAAATTTTTATTGCATGGTTGTTTTTCTTGCCTTATTTCCATTGTAAATAATTGCTCTTTAGAATAAATTTTTTCAACCGTTTTGGATATAGATTTTACCTTTCATACTCTAGTACTCTTGTCTAAAATTGGTGTACATTCTTTTCATGGTAAAAGAAAAAAACTTTCAAAAATCTGAGGTAAAGAATTATGAATCAATTTTTCTTGATTAGTTTATCTTTGTTTATAGAAAGGTCAGTCTATTTCAGAACAATATTTGAAACTTACTGCTAGCATTTTGATCATTATTACTTCTAGTGACATTTAAATAATTCATGATTTGTCTATTTTTAGTAAAGAAATGAGCAGAAATATTATTGAAGCAGTTTTTAAAAAAGTATAAAATTATCTTAAATCTGCATTTGCAACTGATAACGTTACAATTATCCATATAGTGAGGCTGTGTACATTTTATATTCCTTGTTTTGAAAAAAGCAATTTACCGTTTTATTATGAACAGTAAATAAATTTTGAATGCAGTGGATGTTTATGCAAAAGTCATTTTAAATAATATTTGAAATAAGTAAAGGAATTGTATTTAGGATCAGGATCTTGGTAGTTTCATAAAAATGAACCTTTTAAGAAGTTCTTAATTATAAGAAGTAGAGCAATCGTTTTTATAATTGACATTTATTACATATCTATATATCACTAAATTATTAATGTTATAATAAAATAATTTGTAATAAGTATTCAATGACAAGGCAATTTATTTGTCTCACAGTTTCTTTGCATTATCAGAATCATTACAATTATTCAATCACTGGATGATACAATTAATTAGTCCATTCATGCATTATTCAGTTTTTATATCTATGCATTTAGTCACAGCAAAAAATAAACTTAATTAATGCTACAATAATAGTTGCAGCAATGATAATACCAATAATTATGAATATGACTATCACCCACGTTTGTAAATGAAGACAGCATTCAGTTAGATATTCGGTGCAGCACTGATAGTAGTAAAAAGCTGAACTGTCCGGACCTAAAATATTCTCATTAATATTCTAGAATTTTTGAAGAAATTGTTTCTATTACTTGCTAATAATTAACATGCTTCGCTAAATTAAAACCTCTGATATGGAATACACTGATCTCTCAACTCTGATTTTGCTAAATTTGTCTTTTATTTACTCTGTCATCATATTTAATTTCTTATATATTTCATCGTACTCTCAGAGAATAACAAATTTACTATTGTAAATTAGCAAAGTATTTGAAATATCTGTCGAAAATTTGGAATTTTACAAACTGATAGTTAGAAAAGTGTATTGGAAATTATTCAGACAGTAATTTAGATGCATGGTTTGATTTATCAAGATTTTGTTTAGCACATGAGAAAATAATAAATAATAATGAAATTTTTTTTTTCAGTACTATCTTATTTTGAATTTTGAGTTAAGGTTAAAATGTAATGCAAATTGAAACAAACATATTTTTCCTATACAAATTTTATTGCCAGTTTTCTGTTTTAAAATTCCGTCGCCATGTGCTTGAGGGATCGCAAATGTAATAATAGTAAGTAAACTTAGCAAAGTAGTCGAAAAAGATTGAATGAAATACATGGATTAATCTAAAAAAGTTATTATTTAAAAATACCAATGGAACAGAGACTATATTTACTCAAAAATTTTTGTACTTAATTGATATGGAATACAGTTATATTACGCTTGAATCAAATTACTCTTTTAATTAATGCAAACAGCAATTGTAAATTTTAAATTGTAGAACAAATACACTAAAATGTAACAACTAAATTAAGAAAAAATTTTGATTATCACATCACTTTTTCACTAATAATACGAAAATTTATCTACGATTATGGCTGCATAAAAGTATATTTTACTATTATAGCTATATTCAAGTATGCTAACGGTTTTACAAATATCTTAGTCACAATCACTTTTGTACACTTTTGTATTTCATATTTAGAAAAAATATGTTAAAAAATAAACTGGCAATTTTTCATGCACTTAACATGCAAGCAAATAAAGATAACACTGAAGTTCGGATCTCGAGTTGAGAAAAAAATATGAAATCAGTAAAATAGAAAATGTACCGAAGAATTCAGATACGAAGCCACCAATTTCAGTCAGTAGCACATTAGACAATTAACAAATAAGTCTAAAAAGGATATTAAAAATAGAGAAAGGACAAAATAATATGCAAATGAGTAATATATTCTAAGCATAAATTATTAATTTCAGAGAAAATTTATTTTAGTAGAACAAAATGCAAATAAATCATCTATTTTGGTAAATTTTTTTGCTACTAAAAGAAGTTCAAGAACTTAAGAAATGCAATCTTAAGTGTGAAAAAAATATTCACTTTCAAGCAATTTTAGATTTCAAACAAGTAAGTAAGATGCTAATACTATAGATGGAAACTTAATCATTAGAAAACTAACACTGAATACTATCAAACAAGTGATTATTGTTTAATCCATCAAATTAGTCGTACTATGTAGATAATAACTTTGTTGAAATAAACAGAAGTAATGAAATGTTCATTTCTGCCCACTTAACGAGCTTTACAATCAAGGCTTTACAATTAAAAATAGTCGTTTTTTAGTAGGTTTGCGTTATAACAATTTTTTTTTATTCACAAATATAAAATGTGAAGGAATAATGAATCTTTATAAGTGATTAAATAATTACGTATTAAATTGGTCAATAATTAGCTAATAAATTGATATTTCTTTAATTATAGAGATGCATACTTATTTTAGTTCATCAGAATAAAAAAAATTATTAACGTTTAAGAGACGCAGTATGACTTTGATCATTTAATTGCTTTGCGTATTCAATAATCAATCACTTTTTGGATTACAGAGTAAACATGCTAGATTTGTATTCCTCTTTTGAATAGTATTTTATGTTTATTTTATAAAAAAACCATGTGGAAAATAAACACTACGATATCTCTAGTTCAATAAAATTAAATTTTAGAAACGATTTAAAAAATTTTTTAGTAATTACTTTGGCAGGCATTGTCTGTCTTTGATGCATAAAGTGTGCAAATATTACTCATTGGTGTTATTATGTGATTTGATTGATGTAAATTATTTCTGAAGTATTAAATGAAAGTTCGCAATTGAATTGTCAATGTACTTCTTGTTTGAAAATCAAGAATTAAATTCTGAGCACAAAATCAATGGTATTTACAATTAAAGCACCAATAACAAATTACCGTTTACATAGCTCATAGATCATATATATTTATTTTTAGGACATTATGGTAAATTCGTAATCTGCATTGTGATTTATTGTGAAAAAATACACCAAGGATAAATAATATTATCTTTGTTCACCAATGATATCAGGCTGAAATGCTTAGTTATATTAACAGTGTGATGTTTCGCTCTCTATGCAACTCATTAATGTAATTTTTACTGCAATTGAAGTGAAATTATAACACATCTTTAGCTACAAAAATATTAATTAAAACTTGAACACTTACTCGATATAAAAGAATTTGACAAATCGCAATTGAAAAAAAAGTATTAAAAGTTGTATGCTAAAATCGATGCAACGTTGGATTCTGCTCTCGATTATTAATACAGCAAACAGGTATGGCTCCCAGTACTCAGACGGTTAAGATTATTTTACATTTTTTAAGCGTATGAATGAATCAATGCGCTTGAAGTTTTCAGTCAGTGTTGAAAGCTAACTGCGATTAAAAAGAAGGAAAGTTTTAAATATTTTTGTAAAAAGCTTTTCCATACCATGCAGTATACTACCCAACCACATCACCATGCAATATAATATCGAACCACATCGCAAGTCGTAAAATAACTAACTAAAAAACAATCGCAGTGAGATAGATAACGATAAAAAATTCGGAGAATCGGTTGCATGATTGACTTGAATGAATTCTAGCTTTGTATTCAAATATTTCTTTAACCACAATCATAATGAAAATAAATTATAAGCTATAAAAAACTCTTTGCACCAGAAATTCCTGAAATTTAATGCTTACTAGCGTGTTAGAAACCCCTAACTCATTCAAATCTCTATAATTTATTTATTTAATTGAGAAAAAAATTTGCTTAAAACAATCATAGAGTAATTTTTTCTTCAATTATTTTCATAAATTCAGAAACCTCTTGATTACATTTTGTATTTCACACAATCTAGCAACAATTGAACACAAAAAAAGTAATAAACAAAAACAAAACTTCAATTACAAATAATTTCAATTTTTTTCAGTCCATGTACTGCATGAACACAGGAAGATATAGCATGCATTTTTCAGAATCATCGTAAATTACGTCTTAAGAAAATTTTTTAGTAATTAAGTTTTTGGAGTACTCTATTCCAAATATCATAAATACAAAAAGTTACATTATTTCTCCCCGTATTCATCGCAATATATTTCCAAGAATACAAATAAATGAAATAGCAGTGTTACTGTTCGAATGTCATACATACTGTACGAATGATTTTATTCTATCAAACAAAAAATAACCATGGCAAAAAATATTTTTAAATTTCTACAAGTTTGGATGAATATTTAGCTCAATACTAATAGATGTGTTTCAAGTTAGAAATGATATCACTGTTGACAACTCATCACATCCGCTTACTTCATCCGAACCAGACGGCTCTGTGCTAGGAGATGTTGATAAGTCCGAATAACTAAAAGCATCAGTCTTCATCAAATTAATGCTTTGCAATTTAGAGATTTTCAAAAATCTAACAAATAACATATTGCTATAACTGTCATAACAAAGCATCAATTCAAATTCATTGCCCAATTCAGTAACTGTTATGCAATCAAAGTACATCAAATTTTACCTATTTGTCCTAAGAGATGGTGAGAGTAATGAAGATTTTTCATTATCATTTGAAAAATTCAGCAGTGAATCAGAATGATCAGGAGAATTACATCTTGAAGGACATTGCACAATTATTTTTGGTGTGGATGACTGCACATTTTCCTGTAAAAAGTATTAAAATCACTTTAAAGTTATCTTTTACGACCTTAGAATAGGAGTAGAAATTCAATGTGATTGATGCGTAAACTTGGATAGGTTTCAGTTTATTGAAATTTGACATTCAAGCAGTTCATGACTTGAACAAATCATGAAATTTACTGGTAATTCAAGATAGTTCATCAAATCATCAAAAATTTTGAATTTATTTTCAGCAATTACCAGAATATTTTATCATCAGATTACAAAAATTTTAATATTTTCGACAAAAATTTCAAACTATCAGCATTTCGATTCTTACTCATATCAAAACACACGGAAATATGACACAGCAGCACAGAGCTTGCATAAGACTGCTAAACAATCAAAAGTTCATAAAAATAAAAGTTATTATTAACACAACCATTCTGATTACATTCGAATCTGGAAGTCGAATTTAGATTTAATATTAGTAGTTTACTATCTAGCAAATATTGTTTGAACTTCGTATTAAAAAGTGAAAAAGTTACAATTCGCAGCTGTTCTTTGCAATTTTGAAAGCTGAACTGATTCACAGAACAATTATTGACACTAAAATAAGGTGATGGTAAAGGTGTTGGAGTGGAACTTGTAGATTGTACATCTTCTGATGGATGTTCAATGCACTCATCGTGAGCGAAGAATTCTAGATTTTTCTGAAAATATTTTCAATTCAAAATTCCGATTAATGATTAGAACATAGTAAATCACATGAGGACTTAAATTTGCTAATTTTATGGTGTACCATAGTTAATTTCAAGTTAATTTTACCAAGCTTCCCGCACAGTTACCAACTTTTTGAATGAATACATGAAAGTTAATAACATACGGGATAACGTGCATGGAGTTCGCTTGCACTACACATAGGAGTTTTTACTTCGTATGTACTATGAAATATACCGTAATCGATTTGGTATGAGCCATTACTGCGCTGATATGTAACCAACTTTTTAAACCTGAAATTTGAGCAAATCATGATCAAATACTTTAATAAAGCACACTATAAAATAATATTACGTAACTTACGAATTGAAATTAGTTGGTAAAATGCTGCTAGTGTGATGGTAAAAAATTCACCTATGCCCCCAAAGGATTTCACTTGGTAAATACGAGGTACGTGCTTGTGCGGTCATTCCAGTAGATTCAACAATTCCTTCCAATAAAACAACAATTTCAAATTGAGCACTTAGTAGGGCACGTGAATTATAATAATAAAGTGGACTATCACGGTCAATTACATGACATAGTGTAGTGGGCCAGACCTGAAGTAAAAGAACTGGGAAGTATTTACTACATTATTCTTTATTCAAAATTAATTTGAAGTATCATCTATTATGACTTCTTTTTTTTTATAAATGAAAAAACTGAAAAATGCTTGCATTGCTGCAATAAGTCTGACAATGCATATAAAATCCGAATATCTTAAAATAATTCCAGGTTATAGGTCAAATAATATTTTAAATAATTTGCTTTATTTTACTGATGGATATATGTCAACGAACCAAAAAAATACGATCATCATCTGTTGTGCTGGGGCCTACTTTCATTTCATATTGATGCAGTGGTTCAATCTAAATAATGATCGATCAAAAAATTAATAATTTAGTCTGAGAAAAATAAAAAATAAAATATGATCTACAAAAGTACCCTCAAAGACCTAATTAATATTGCAAATCCAGTAGGCCCTTATAGCTAACAAATTTGAAATTTTGCTCTTTTTCTTGTTTGAATTAATAAATTTAATTAGTGGACTTCTTTCCAAACTACTCACTTCTCCTTCAGCGGTTTCTCTATCTGTAATAAATTGCAATCGTACATGAGCTTCTACCAAATGTGTATTACGCATATCACCAACTCGACACAAAAAGCATAACTGACCATCTCGTAAACAAATTACTGCTTTTTCACTGCAGTTAAAAATATTTTTTCCAGTAGAACTTAGCCTAATAAGTGTATTTTAGAAGAAAGTGTAATTTAAGCGTATCTTCAACTACTGAAGCAGTAATATCCATGACATAACTGTAAATGCAGTATATAAAAGTGATCACGCATGATGCAATAATTCAGAATTAGGGTGGATGGAAACTTGTTGAAAGTGTTCAATCTGATAACAACCTGAAGATGATCGTTTCAGCTCGTTTTTTAGGTCGTGCCATTTTTGCGAAAACTAGCCCAACCATAAAACTTTGAATTAGCAGACCACAAATACATTGAATACATATAAGTGCTCCAGCAACAGGACATTCTGTCGTAATATATCTACAAATTGCATTTCATTACTTTATTTATGTCACACAACTTGCAACATTTGATCAACTATTATCAGATTTAGAAATAAATTTGTCATATCATTTTTATAAAGATTTTTAGAATTTGGCACATATAATAATTGCCAAGTTACAAAAAAAATATTTTTGTAATACAAATTTGTCTTAGTGTGAGCAAGAATTTATTTAAACTAATAGATTAAGCCAAAATTTATAAAAAAAATATTGATCAATTTTTAAGTGAAATAATGCATCACTTAAAAAGTATTCTTTCACTAATACATAAAAACTTCAAAAAATGTAATTCAATTTTGTACTTTAAAATCGACCATTTGACTAGAAAATTATATTTAAAAAAGGACTAAATAATAATAAAATATAGTGAAATTAAGTTTCAGAAAAGAGAAAAAATGCCACCTGTGTCCATAGCCAATAGTGTGATGAGTCTCAACAGCGAATAAAAATGATGAGTAAAATGAGTCTATATTTTCGATGCAAACGGAACGATTGGAATTGTTGTTCTTGAACTCATTATGTATATCACCATGCAAAACGCTTATTACGTAATAAAAACTAGCGAATATTGTCCAACTAAAATTTTTTTAATCTTTTACTTAATTAAAAATGAAACAAAATTCTACTTTTGATGCATTGTTAATATAGTTTAGCTTATCACAAATTTAAAATATTGAAAAAGATAGCAATTAAAACTTTCAGAAGTGAAAGTTTTTACACTCTGTTTTATAGTTATATTATTCCGCGGATATAATTTATTTTAATAGTAGTAAAATGCTGAAGCCCCAAATATGTACTCTATTAAACTTTAACTGCACACATAAATAGCTAAAAAACTAAACTTTAAATCACATCAGTAGCATCAATTTTCAAATGAGAGTTTTAGAATTAAATTGGCTACAAAGTTTTACAAATAAAATTACCATACTGAATGTGAATGTGAATATTATTTATCAGTATTATTCGAAAATGTTAGATTAATTTTACATCCGCAGTAATTGCTTATAAATGTTGCATTAAACGACTGAAATTATCAAGATTTTTTTCAATCATTTTCTTAATAGTAAAATTAATAATAAAAACATTAGGGCTGAAGAAAGAATGTTTAAAATTTTGTGATCACTATATATATACCCTAAGCCAATAAAATCCGAAATTTATCTACTTACTTCATGAATGTAATATCATTTTTACTTTCGAAATTTCCCTCGAAAAAGTCAAAAGATTATAAAAAACTTGGCTTTTGTGTTTAATTTTCTCCATAGCTACAATTAAAAATATATAGATTTAAATTTTACAGAGAAACAAAAAATGATTGAAATAAATGAATGAATAAAACAGTGCCAACCTACTGATAAAAACAATAGCAAATATGACAAGCATATATCGCCATTTGACATCTATCATTGTTGTGAATATATCTCTGAACTTGGAACTCGTTAAACAATTAAAATACAATTATAACACATATAGAAAGTATTTATTGTTTTGAGTGACAGTTATTGCTTACGCTTTCATATGACAAACTGAATTTTAAAATTGGTGGAAAGTAACTTACGAAGGTATAGTTTTCTATTAAAAGTCAGTTTTCGAAGAGCGATTTTTACCTTAGATATTGTCGATCCTTTTTAGGAACATTAGTATTATACACATTACAGATTCCATTCTTAGCTATTAGCCTTGAATGTTTCATTTTTTTTGTCGTTTTACGTGAGAGCGGTGTTGAATTCCGTCTGGCGGTAATTGCTGCCATAGTGCGAAAGCTTTCTGAGAATGCATCTAAATAAATAAATAAATAAATATCAGTTCAGTTGGTGTGATGGATATATAAGTAATGAAGAAAACAGAAAGTTCATAAAGATGTCAAGAAAAATTTTCAAACTTTATACCAGCAATGGATGTAGAACGATTAAAGAGTGGACTTTTAGAGTTCACTACCAAAGGTTGTGTACCCAAACTCATTTTACGCCTTTCTTTAGGTATTCGAGATTTACTTATCTCAGGAAATGAAGGAACTGCTAATGTCATTGACCTAAAATAATTTCAAATTGAAAAATTGATTGCATAAATATATATCAAAATCATTTTTATCATATCCTTTCGTTTATTATATAGTCTTGTTTTTGATACAAACACTATAAACTTTTAATGCAAAAATAACGAGTTTGCTTAGTTTTGTATTGCTCAAATGATAAAACATGGCAAAGAATTCAGTTTCGCCATTTAAAAGATTCTACTATCATCATGCTATCAATTATTTGCAGGAACAGATTAACGGAAAGTTATCATGCAAAAGGAAAATTATATATCATTAATTTCCATCTAATTTTTCAAAATCATTCGATTTCATACATGAAATATCAGCAGAGTTTTTGTTTGTTTTTTTTGGGCTAAGAAATAACTTTGAATATATTTGTATGAAGGCAGCTAAATTTAATTGTATCTTTCATCAAATCGGAGTGCTTGATTCATAAATGAGATATGCTATAACAATAGAAAGAAAATTGCATAATACAATCCTTTAAAAAATTTTAGTCAAAAACTCAACATAAAAGTTATAACAAAATGGTTTCAAGTAGAAGCACTGATTATAAATCATTTTAATTTGCAAACCGAAGAGTACTTAGTCATGTCTTCACAATTACAATTAGAAATACTTTACATACTATGTTATCTTAACAACTAAATAAAATGTATATCAGAATTATTAAAATTAACAATTTTCTTGTATTGATAATTAATCAAAAAATTAAGATTGAGAAGAAAATATATGCGGAACAACCTTTGAGTTTTAGCAAGAAGCCTATTTGCACCATAAACACTAATGTGAGTTACACGACGAGTTTCAGCCATTGTATTAGCTTCTTTTTCTGGATTTTGTCCGGATCATTTGATCTCAGCAGAAATTTAAGAAACGCTGAAAAATAAAGACTTCGCAATTAAAAAGTTGATTAAATAAGTAATTTCTCAAGTATATTTTGGGCGTTAATTTAAAAAGTAACGAAAGATTGCAGAGATCAATTCGACATATGAAAATGCTTTTTCTAGACGGTGTTAAGGATAAAGGGTTCGTTATTCTCATTATGCACAATTTAGCTGAGATAAAGATTGTCAATCGGAATTAAATTGTCTTTATTAACACTAATTCAGTAAGTCAGTGGATCATTTTTTTTTTGTAATTTGTACAGTAGTTTATAAAAATTATTTTATTCAATAATTACATTATCGTCGTAACCATTAATTATTTCATTCATTAATACATCCTAGATATAGGCGCTAATTTTAGAAGAGAATAATTTGCTACATTAAGTTGCATGAAAAAAAAGCATCTATGCTTTGAACGCATGAATGATGTTTTTAATTATTTCTCTCATTAAATGGTAGTGAAGAATTAATTATGACAATAACTGGTTGCCAATAAGATAAATTTAGAATATTTTCTAAAATTACAACTGTTTCTTTCTTCCTTCAACACATTGTTAAATGTCTGAATACATAATTGTTTCTAAAAAGGCTTAATTTTAAGACTATTAGTATGAATATTAACAAAGAGTTAAACTCTTCACTCACTGCAATCATTTTACAGCTTTTTTGGAAAAAATGTGAGAAAAGTAGCTACTCAAGAAAAGTAGCTATTTGTGATAACTTTACTTTCCTTAAATATGGGAAAAAAAACATGAAAAAATCAGATTAAAAATTGACCTTATGAAGGTTTCGTTATTTGCAGCCATAGAATCATAAATTTCGTCAACAAATATGCAAATGTTCCATTAAAGTTTGAAAAATAAATATTCTGATGGACTAATCAAACAGTTGTGATTTGTCCTTCTTTTAAAAGCATTTGTAACTTTCATGTAAATAATAAACTGTACATAACCTGATAATACATTATACGTATGATTCGTTGATATTTATGAAGATATAGAACACATTTTTCTGAAATATTCACATTTTATAGAATAAAAGTTTAATAATTTTGAACACATCTCTTTATACATTTGTTTGTTTTAATTACTTTTTATTTTACTTACTATTACAATTGTTGTTATTTATGACTTTGTGTTACTATATTGAAAGAAAAATAGTATATTAAAAATCAAACTTGTTCCAAAACTAATCACCAAATGGAATTCAGAAAAAGACAATGGTAGCTAAACAAATATAGAAAATATGAGCTAATTGGCAATAAAGAATATGAAGTTATGACATTTTTCTGCAAATCGTTACCATTCTGTATTGAATTTTAATACTAATACAATATAATTGTAACAATCCATAAGACACTTCAACCAGTAGATAAATTTTCATATCATTTTTTTTGTTGTTGTTTTACTGATCAAAACAAATTCTATGTCAATACTGCATGAATGAAGCACTTACTTCATCATACAGCCCGACCGGCTAAATCTTTAGAGTCAATCATCGATTTATCCAAAAACACATAAAGTCATGAATTTTTTCTACAATAATCACAAGGTCTCCAATTTCTAAATTTTTAATGATACATTGCAAAATTTTTAAAGCATACTTTTTTGTTGTGTTATTTTTGGACAAATCGATCTCTTTTAAAATTTCATGATTTTTTTAGTTGATTTTGGAGTATAGTAGTAGATACAACTTTATATGACGTTACGAACTATTAAATTTGATTTGTTGAAAAATGTGATTAAAAATCAGTTGTATAACAAGAATCAAGTCAGGTTGACACATCAGTAAGTTGCTGAAGTAGTCTTCTTTTAGACATATCCTCCTCTCTACCACAAAATGCTAAGTAAGAACTAGCTTTGTATGCATAACTTCAATATAAGTAGAAAAAAAATGAAATGAAACAGCGCAAAAAATGTTCAGATTAAACTAAAAGTAGAGAATTTTTAAAGGAAAAGAGAAAACTAGAATAGATTTTATTAATTTATAGTTGTTTATTGTGTTATTAAATGTTTGAGAAGTAAAAGTGAGTTTGGCATTTTTTGCATTCACAAACTTAATTGTACTTTGTTAATAAATTAATAAAAAATATAATTAAGTTTGTATTTTTAAACAAAGATTATATGTGCAACAACGTATAGAGGAATTGCATTTTCAAAAGTTTATACTACTTATTCATTACTCTTTTTACGCTATTAAATTATAAGGGAGATGAAATTTGATCATCCGGAAAGATTTTTGGAAAATGGGGAAAAGCTTCAAAATTGTAGGAAGTAGTAAAGACCGAAAGTATGCTGAATCCTCTCTTTTGATAATCTTTGACCGCATTAGCATTTTCTCGTTTGGTCCTCCTCTACCATCCATATCTTTCTTTTCCACTATTCTTCCATAACTTTGTAAGTCAAATCAAATAGTGAATGTTTGTCTTTTAAGTGACCTTTTCTCTATTGCTATCTTCTAGCTCTTACTTCACCATGATATATAAAATGTAAAAGTAAATTTAACGATGAAATTCATTTCATGCTTTGCAGTAAATTATATTTAAAACGGCAATAACTTTGCACACAATGCTTGCTTATACCTAATATCAAGTTAAAATATGAGCAGGCATTATATTTTATGCGTACCAATGCTTGTTTCTAATTGTTATTGTTTACATTTTTGTTTTACATCAACATTTCAACTAAGCAAAGACCACAAATAAGTTTCCCTTCATTTCCACTAAAACAATGTTTTTTTTTGGTTTGTTATTGTTGTTGTTTTTTGATAGCACTAGCAAGTACTAGTACTAAATGATTGCTTTAAAAGTGATATTCAAAATGTTTTTTGAACAGGAGCTAACCATTTTAAGTCACAAATTTTTAAAATAGAAGCAGGGCATTTCAATTTTTAATTAAACAAGTAGGACATATTAAATTGAAATTTCTTGATGACTTAACTTCAGATAATAGTTTGAATTTTAGTCTAATGAAGAATTTTTCTAATGCTTCTTACCTAGAAAATTTCGTAGACAGTTACACAAGAAGTGCATATAACGCATGCCATTTTCAGCTGCAAATCCTTTAATAACGGTTATTTATATGCAAAAGTTCAGATATTGAAGAAATGTCTAACCACTTATTGTCATTAAATTAAACCTTCAATAGTTCGCAAGCTCAATTATTCTGTAGGTCATTTAGATCACTTAATAGTTCACAACAAATTATTATTATCACTATCACTGCTTAATTAATAGCTTATTTGTGGCAATTTAAGATGTAACACTTGAACTAAAAAAATAATTCACACCAATCATTATTATCACTATCATTGCAATAGTGCGTTGAAAATAATCACTAGTTTTACGTTTAACTTTAACTTACTTGCAATAAAAATCAATTTGTAATCAAGCTCTACTGCTCAAATATGTTAAGTTTGTGTAATTCATCACTGCAAGTATTAATTTAATACTTCATTTTATTCGATATTTACGACATAATTTACTTTTTTTTGCTATACTCAGAAATACGTTGAGCAAAAACTGAAGGTAACGATTTTTGCTGATATAAAAAAGGAAGAGAAAAAAATCAGTTAAAGTAAGTGAATCAAATTTAGGAGATATTAGAAAAAAACTGTATGTACAAATTAGATGAATATTCGCTCTCTGAATGGTTGATTTTAATGAATATAGGCTGTTCAAATAGAAAATTTTTCAAATACTGCACTATCTAATAGTAGAACTATTCTTCAGTGAATAAATGTGTTCCAGAATATGATCTACTCTTATAGTTCTTCGTAAATGAAAATGATTGCACAGTGAGAAGTAATATTATCACGATATGACTAAAAAGAACAGATCATAAATGGTTGATTATCGCGTAATTTGCGAAAAAAAATTTTAGTTTCAGGTTAATGAGGAAACTCTTCAATATGACTACTAATTAACGCAAATTGAAGCAAATTGGGTACATACTATATTGCATGTTCACAAGACTAACCAAAAAATTAAGCATTTACTGGATGGAAAAAAAAAACCCCACTACGTTTACTTATGCTATCAAGAAAGTATAATGGATCAAATGAAACAGTTTGATAGTTAAAAATTTCAAATAATCTCTGGAAAC